TAAGGTTTAAGATTTAGGTTCTTGTAGTTTCTGCATTCAATATTGTTTTCTAAATGGTTTGTTATAAATAATATATTATACATGGTAGCTTTTTATTAATTAGTATGTAAGAAGTGAATCTATAGATGTGGATGAACACAAAAAAAAAATTATTATGTGGTGATAGGATACATGTACTATAACATGCGATATCCGGAAAAACAATACGATAGCCGTTTAAACAATGATTGAGAATATGATGTTCCGAACAATTTTCTCATGTCTGATGTGTATGACCGTAAGGGTAAGTCACACGCTTTTGTATTGACCAAAAGTACAATCACTCCAATACTGCATATATGTGTAGAATCATGTCTTTAATTAATATTCAATTTCAACGTATTGTGGTGATCTCATCTTATATTTGACCGTATATTTAAGAGTATTTGCAGTGTACACACAAGGAAAATTGGCATATTAGGCATCTGCCCTATTTTTGTCGTGTAGTTATAATCACACATAAGCTCTTTACCATTTTACCCCTCTAGAAAGTGAAACTTCGTTTCTATCGACTTCTATATTATATCATTCTTTATCTTTCTTCTGTTATCCATCTCTACACGTTTTCTATAGGCTTTGTATTAGACTAGTTTAGTATTAAGTTTTTTTTTTTTAAATACTTTCATCGAAACGGTTCTATCGAGGCAGTCTAAAAACTCACCCCCCTTTTCTACTTAAACGCACTGTTCGTCAAGTACAAATCAGACACTTATCTCAATTCATTTGCATCAAATTTTCTTTCTTCTCAACAATTAGCGTAATGGAGACAACCATTAGGGGAAGAACCACGATAGTATGCTAAATCTCATCTTATATGATTAGTAGTTTCGTAGAGAAAATGTTAACGTTAATAGCTCTGTTAAATTAAATTAGAGTTTGTATACGGAATATTTTAGCAAGATAAACCGAAATCATTACACATCAATGATGGTGTTGCCATGTACTTTTGAGTCTTGCGATACTTATTAGCTTTGTTAAATAAGTTTAGAGCATTTATACAATTTCCAGTAGCATGCTAAATGAAATCCAATACGATTAGTAGCTTCGTAATGAAAATGACCAAGGTAATAGATTTTGTTAAATAAAAGTAGAGCATGTATACAAATTATTTTAGCAGGATAAACCGAAATCATTACAAAATCAAAGTTTGTTTTGCAGTGTTTNGCTTTGTTAAATAAGTTTAGAGCATTTATACAATTTCCAGTAGCATGCTAAATGAAATCCAATACGATTAGTAGCTTCGTAATGAAAATGACCAAGGTAATAGATTTTGTTAAATAAAAGTAGAGCATGTATACAAATTATTTTAGCAGGATAAACCGAAATCATTACAAAATCAAAGTTTGTTTTGCAGTGTTTTTTTTTGTCTTGCGATTATCATACTGGTGCTAATCATTAACAGTTTACGGTTTCTATTTGTCTTGACCTTTATTAACCTCTGTTTATATACACAGATTTTCGTTAGCCTGTTAACTAAAACAATTATCCACGGTCTTTTCCAGGTACAACATGCTATTCCTCCTCCTACTAAATAAATGCATGTGCAGTCGTCTTCGTCTATATCATCGACGACAAAAAATTAATTACAAACAGAATAACGAGACTACAAACAGAATGAATCATATGTGGGTGAGGTGGAATGAGAGAGAGAGAGAGAGAGAGGTTAGTTTGGTAATTGACAATTAAATCTTATCCCCACAATTATTTGGTTTGTGTATTTAGCTAATTATGTAGTTTTTATAGGATTTTCAATAAATTCACCCTATATTTAAACAGGGGCTAAGTGTATATAGTAACTCTATGGATCGTTGACTGATCTCTAAAAAACTGTTCATGATAGTATTATGCAACATATAAAAAAAAACTTTACTTTTATTCACAACTATTCATCTCTAATTTTGTTTTATGAAACTGACAGATTTTTATTTAAGTATAAACTGTTTCATTACAAAGGTGTATATGTGAAGAGGAAAAAAAAAGAATTGAGTCCCATAAACACACAAAATCTGAGAAACGTTTGAGTAAAAAAAACAAAACTCTAGAGAAATATATAATCATGTATGAAAAATAAAATGATATACTCTATGAGCAGAAACAGATCTACTTGTGTATGTGAAAAAAACTAATATGAAGTTGTAGTAACTTAAGCCCTTTGTCAAAAAAAAAAAGTTGTAGTAACTTGAAAATTTTATTGAAAATAAAAGTAAGCAAGACGAAACTCTCTTGGCCGATTTTTTGCTTGAAAAGTCCTTTGCAATTTCGTGTAATTTTTTAAAAACTAAATAGGAGTATGCCATAAAAGTCTTATATTAAGGACACTATTATCTGTTTTTGTATCAGTTCAGTTTCGGAAGAAGAAAATAATAAGGATATTTTTCTAATTGTCATAATAATAGTATTGGCCGGTATTGTTTTGGCGCCGTCTATTGTCATATGTAGTGTCCACTTCCACCGAACTCCTTTATAAAATCTCACTGGCTAGATTTGGAAATGGGAAAAACGCCTATTTTTTTTTTATCTAGGAATTTATGTTATTACAAATCATGAGAAATATTACATATACGATATTACAATAGATAATTCTATCTATTTTATGTGAATTCATGTCTGATTATAATATTATAAACTGTTATGTGAGATCTATTTCTGACGATATTTCTTGCACTATTCTGAATATCTTTTGTAAACTTTTTTTTTTAATATTTTCTGCTTTATTCGTCTTTTTCAAGATTTGAAACTTCGAAATTGTATAGTCTGAGGTTCGAATTCCTGAGAAACGTCTTTATATTTATGTGAAGATTTATTCTCTTATTGGTGTGATAACTATTTATTAATGCATGTAAGCGCGCTAATGATTTTAATCATTTCGCTAATTCACTACTCTACAACAATATCAAGGACGGTTGAGGGAATATAACATTGTAACAACCAGTTGTATCTCTCTACAACGCAAACTGTCTAAATTCTTTTTTTTGGGACAAAAAACTGTCTTAATTATTATATGTATGCACTTTTATGTATGCACTTTTGATATAGAGATATATTAGTGAGTTTAAGAAATAGTGTGAACGCTGATGATTGTGTGTCCGTTGACTTTTTATTGCGTGAATCAATATATATGTGTATATATATAGTTTAACTAAAAAAACAAAATAGGTTAAGAGCCTTAGTGAGGAAGAAACTAAAATTGCATGTATTTGTGGAAAATGAATAATTATATTTATGAAATTATTTACCATTCTCTCAAAAAGTATAACAAATATAATTATTTATTTTCCACAAACAAAACTTTAATTGAGGTAGTTAGTAGATACCATTTCCATACTAGAATGGTCATATATTCTTTAAACATTTGAATTTATGTTGGTTGACATCATTTTTAATGATAAAATCTTCAAGAATATGCAATGAATTATGTTATATCAACTGATTCGTTAAAAATAAAAATATTATATCAATTGACAAAAAATAAAGTTGTAGACCGACAAGTAGAATGGTTAATCACGTTGCTCAACTAGCTTAACTAATCATATTTTATATCAAACTAAAGACTCATCAACAAAGAGAGGTTCATTACAATTTACAAGTCTCATCTTGCTCAATTGCCACATTTAAGTATTTTTATCAAAACTAATTTACAAAATAAAGATACTGGAGTGATCATTTTTCTTCAATCTGAGAATCAAATCACAACACAGAACAAAAGAAAACAAAATTCGATGAGTCCTAGGGATATTCTTAACATAATGTATGGAGCTACGACGTTACTAATTGTCTTTATTGTTATCTTCTACTTTCGAAATATGGATGCAAAGACGGATGGAAACAGATCGCCACCTCTTCCAACTGCGATCGCGTATCACCTTAATTAGTTGTTTGCTTTTTCAATATTTATGTACTTATGCTTTTGAATTTTTTTATCCTATCTTTTGTTGTGGTTTGTATTGAATATATATAATCACATTTTCTTTTAAATGACAGTGTATAGTTTATATCAACAAAGGCTATCATTTAAATAACACATTACGTTCAGACCATATAAAATTTGAGTAGTAAAATGACTTTTGATGTTAAGTTTTTTTTTTAATGCATTACGTGATCCATGTTACAAAAAAACTCTTATTGATGTTGAGAATTAACTACATTTTTCACTTGACCGTGAGTTGTTATATGCTAATGTTACAACTTGGGATGCATCTTTGGCCATTTGTCATTTCAAAAAAGTTTCTACACTTTCAAATCATACTTTAGAGCATTGTAATCCACTCAATAATTTACTGCAAAATGAAGTGGAAAATAGAATGATGCAAAAAAAAAAACTCATTATTCTACTTATAAATTAATGAGTTTTTGTTTTTTGTTTTTTGTCATCACTCAATTTTCCACTAAATTTTGCAGTAAATTATGTAATGAGATTAGAAATGCTCTTATAACATTATAAAAACGTTATCTGTACCGGTTGATTGTGATCCAGAAACGATTTGGTCACATACTTGATGTCCAGATAATAATTCTAAAATTTATTAAATAACCTCAAAAATAAGAATATATAGTTCACAATAAAATTAACAAACGAAAAATCAAACTGAAACATATATTAGTATAATAATCTAATACAAATATTTTATATATATAGGCAAGAAATATTGGTTTGAATAAAATTATACATATATTTTAATAAGAAAACTTTGTCATATATAAATTATTTGATGTTTGGTTTAATTTTGTAAAAACATAAATAATAGTTTATCATGTTGATTTTGATATAAATAAAACATCAAATAATAAGTATTCATAAAAAAACATAAGTGTGCGAGCAAATAAACCTAGTTCCTCAATAACCGAGGTTGGTTCTAGTATGGCTTATATTGAGATCAATTCCATTGTGTTTGAATGCAACCACAGATACCGGCGAGACGACGGTGATCAGATCGGATGCATCTTGGACGCCGGGAGGGACAATGGCAAGACTCGGGTGGGTGACTTTCTCGACTGACGGTATCGTGACAGCCAACAAACGGGTTTCCTTTGTATCTTCGGCTCTAATGGCGGAGGGATTGGCACTGCTGGAAGCGGTTCGAGCAGGACACCGGGATGGGTTGCTGTCGGTGGTGTTCGAATCAGATTCTGTGCAACTTATCAAAGCTATTAACTCGGGAGTGATTCTTCGTGAAATCTACGGAGTGTTTTCTGATATTATATTTCTGTTTGTTTCTTTTAAGACTGCTTCTTTTGTGTAGATCTCTAGTACAAGCTTATAATATTAGTCAAGATTCCTTTCAGTTTGAATTTGAATGAAATGTTAACATAACAACTAAAAGAAATTTCAAACAATCCCTAATACAAAATGATCGAGTTGGTTTATAAATATCAAGTCAAAAGTTAACCAAGTCTATGAGAGGCTCGTCATATCTCTGTATATATACGCATATTATATTCTTGTTCCCCTATATGAAAAGTGAAGATACAATCATAACGATCAAGAAGAAAGATGAACCCTGTGGGGATTTTGTTTATAGCATTTGGAGGGCTTCTCTTGTTTATGTTCCTCTTATGGCTCACTCACTTTCTCTACCACAGAGCTAAGAAAGATGGCAAAGAAAGCATCGCCTGTCTTGGCAGCGGTTATGGAGGCGACTTCGGTGGTTAAAATCGAGGCGATGTGGTCTTTCAACAACAACAACAACAGAAATAAAAACAAAATCGTTGCCATCTATTAATATTCCCATATAATTTCCTTCTTAACTGTTTCTTGTTTTCAATAATCAAAGGTTTCTAAGTATGCAATATATGTATGCATAACGTACATGTGTATTAATTAAACTATTTTAAGTTTTTGTTATTTTCCAATGAGCAAATTTGATTCAGAAAGTTGATTGGAAGTCTCTTAGTTAGGTAACATAACAATTTTACATCAGTGTTTCTTTTTAATTACTTCAGTACGTCACGAACGATAATTAGATGATAGACGAACAGTACTGTAAACTTTGACTTATAATAAACCATGACATATAGTTTTAGTGATGTGATGTGTGCATTAGTGCGTTATCATCCAGGACATCATAAACTTGCATAATCTATATTGTTGGGAAAAACATCTGATCTACATTTACCATATTTTAATAACTGGTTTGTAACTATATTTCAGTAAAATAGATTAACTAGAAAATATAAAATAAGTTTAGTTTTGTAGTTAATTATAAAGAAAACAGAAGAAACCCTTAAAGATAGATAGATGTAGGTGCATCAGGTACGTATCTCAGCGCTTGGAGAAACCCTTTTCTCTCCACAGACGATCAAACAAGCATAAGATGTCGAGAAGGATTCAACTCCATTTTCTTTAATTCCTTGATCTGTCTATTCTCTCCAAGCATGGGAATGTTTTATTTCTGGTTCTTTTTGGGAGTATATCATTGTGTTGATGTCACCCAAGTTGAACTCGTAATCTTCGTAAAAGGATATTTCAATCCTCTGCGATGCCCATCTAAGTTTCCAATTAGTGGAAGGGATCGCTCTTCAATATCAAAGAGTACCATGATGTTTTGATCGACGTTGGTATTTCATATCCTTGGAGAACTACCGAATTGGTGGAAGAAGATCAACATCACCGATGTTTCTGCGACAAGACAAAGCCAAATGTGTTGATTCCAGAACCAAATGGTAGGTAATAAACTCATCTTAACTGCATTATTTTGGAAACAACATCCATGAAAATTAAGTTGCAATGTACGACATAGTTTCATCTTATGGATGGATAGTCAAATATAAAAATCACATGAAAGCAAGAAAAAAGAAATCTGAAAGAACTGGTCTTTGTTTGAAGTCCGGATCACAAGTAATGTCTCTCGTGAGAAAACATCTTCAGATTTTAGTTCTCTCGTGTTGTTGTTTTTTTTTTCCGACTAAAAATTTGTTTATATTAATTGATCAGTCATGACATTGTTATACAAAAATCTGGGGCACTTATGGAACACACTTCATGCATTATCAGATGTTAAAGATTTTTTTGCTAATAAATCTGCATCGGAATTGGATGACCTACTTTGATACACAAAGATGATGTTATCAAAATAAGATTTCCAGCCCGAGATAGTCATTAGGTAGTTCTCCAATTGTAGATTAATGCTTTGACCTTGTATACATCTTGTGACTAGTATATTATCACCTTCGAAAATTACTTTTTTGTACCCTAATGAGTAAGCTACCTGCATAGCCCAAATTAAAGCAGTGCATTCTCCTTCTTATACTAAATTTCGACCTTCAAATCTGCCCATTCCGCAGTCGAAAACTATTCCATAGTTGTTTCGTATAATCCAACCCATTCTTGACTCTTGACGTCCTTTGTGATGAGAAACATCATAATTGCATTTAACCCAACTTTCCAGTGGTGGTGGCCAAGACTCAGTCACCTGATTAGTAGAAACATTGCCATTGCCTCTATTTGTTGTTGAAGGAATTTGATTGAAACGATGCCATTCTAAAATATCATCAGTTACCTTTTGAATTAACGGCACGTGGAGACCATACTTTAGACTTGAAAATTAATTCATTTCTACATTTCCATAGACGCCATAAATTCCAAATCGGTCTTGAACTCAAATGAGGATCAAGTTGTCTATTCTGGATAATACAGAGAAGGTCCCTGAATTTATCTTCCAAGGAAATACTTGGATCTAAGATCTTTGTACAACAAATACCAGAGAGACGCCAAACGAATTGAGCGAAAGAACAATGAAAAAATAAATGTTCTGGTGTTTCTTCAATAGTACAGCAACGAGCACAAGAAGGATCAACATTGAAATGCCGACGCCAGAGTGTGGATTTGACGGCCAAAGCTCCAGAAAGGAGACGCCAGAGGAAATGTTTTAGTTTTGGTTGTGTCTCAAGCTTCCATATTTGTTTTGCTATATCTTGGTGAGAAGCTAGCGGAGGAGAGACTTCTGGTACATTTTCTGATGTTCCAACAATAAAATGATATCCTGACTTGACTGTATAATTACCATCCCTCGTGTAGCTCCATATTTTTTAATCCTCAGGTTTCAGTCTTGAGAGGAATTGTTGTTGAATCAGGTTATGATCTTGGTGCTCAATAGATCAGAAATAATTCCGTAATCCCATTGATTTGTTTCTGGATTTATCAAAGTATTAACCGTCAGACTGGGGTTCGTATATGGAAGTAGTAACGGAGCTTGAGGAGGATGCGTAGGTAGCCATTTATCAGAAAGTAAGGTAGACACTCCATTCCAAATATTAGTTTGCATGCCTTGATTCAGGCAGTTCTCTTCCGTTCATGAGTGATTTCCATCCATACGAAGGTTGATATCCAAGTTTAGCATTCCAAATAGTCGATCTAGGAAAGTATCTATGCTTAAGAATTCTATAAATGAGACTTTGTGGGCGTTTCGAAATTTTCCAAAGCTAATTGGCCAGTAGAGTTTGATTAAATAATCTAAGATCACGAAAACCTAAGCCTCCATGAGATTTTGAGGTTGCCAATTTTCTCCAAGAGATATAAGATATTTTTCGTTTTCCATTAATATTACCCCACCAGATAAGATACTGTCGATTTCAGCGCAAAGGGTAGTAGGTAATTGGAAAACATTCATGGAGAACACAGGCATGGCATGAGCGACAGTTTTGATTAAAATCTCCTTCCCAGCTTGATTAAGAAATCAGTTCTCTCGTGTTGTTGTTCCTTAATAATTATGTAATTTAATGTTTCTTTTGTACTTCCGATTAAGCAAGCTTTTTATGTGTCATTCGTTGAATCACCGTCCAAACACCTTTTTGACTAATGAATACTATGATTTATGGTAGATATAATTACAGAAAAAAAAATGAGATTTTAATATTTAACCCAGTAAAAAAGTTGTAAAAAAACTCCAAGCCGACGAAAAAAATACAAATCCAAAAGAAATAATAACTTCAAAATAACTACCCAAATTCTAGCACCATCATCTAACTAGTAATCGTTATACATAACTAACTTCATCCCCCGCCACCACATCCTCCTCCACCACACCCTCCTCCACCACACCCTCCACCACCACACCCTCCACCACCACCACATCCTCCTCCTCCACCATGATGCCCTCCGCCGCCACAACCACCACCACCGCCATGATGACCAGAAGGTCCAGAACCAGAGATAGTAGGAAGAGATGCTGCCGCAGCTGGATAAAACACGAAGTCACCATTGCTGCTTGTTACAGCCCTGGCTCTCTGGTTGTTGGGCTTTAGCACAGAACCATCAGTGCCTTTTTTCTTCTTCGCCTCCAAACAACATGACACTAATAAAACGATCGCAAGAAAGACCCCCAAACAGATCAAAACAATCAAATAAGATTCCATAATCTCTCTCTTTCTCTGCAATAACAAAAGTCACAATCAAATAAACAATCAAATAAAGTTCCCGTGATCTAGTATTTATAGTCCTATTATTTATTTTTTGTTTGGACTAGGGTAAGTAATTAAGTAAATAATTATCCACACGATTGATATTGATAATAATAATGATAACTTATGTTATGTTTATCTATTAAATCAACTCATACCTCATAATAGAGCTTGGTTTAGATATGGATACTTCCTCTGCATCCGCTTACATGCTTCACTGTGATGAAAACATACACAAACACATCCACTAGATACGTTCTCAGGTAGCTTCACTGAATGCACTTCCGTGGCTTATAGAAACCAATTCTATTTCCTTTTCAATCATCTTCAGTGTGAACGTTATCTCTTCCAAATTCAAATGAGATCCATCTCCCACAAGAAAATTGTGTACTTCACCCTTTAATATGATCCAGCTAGAACCAGGATCCTTCTTTATTCTTTTCGATTTCTTGATATTCCTTATCCGATCACCGTCTCTGTTTTTCCCAACAAGTGCATATAGCTGAGACAATACAACATAAGGTGTTGCACTATCCGGCTCAAGCTCAGTTAGTTTCTTAGCAGCAAGCTCTGCAAGATCCACACGTAGACAAGTCTTGCTCGCACCAAGAAGGCTACCCCAAACACCAGAGTGAGGCTCAAAAGGCATTGAAGAGATCAAGTGATATGCTTCATCAAGCATGCCACTTCTTCCAAGAAGATCAACCATACATGCGTAATGATCAGGTCCTGGTTCAATACCGTACGAAGATTTCAACGTTCTGAAGTATCTCCATCCTAAGTCAACGTATCCAACGTGAGCACAAGCTGATAACAAAGCAAGAAAGGTAACACTGTTTGCCTCTTTTCCTGTAGTTTCCAATACTGAAAACAGTTTAACAGCTTCCTTTCCTAAACCGTTGTAAGAAAACCCGCTGATCATCGTGTTGTAAGAAACAATATTGGGATCACTGATGCGTGAGAAGATCTTGTAAGCATCATTAGCGTTTCCGGTTTTTGAATACATAGACATCAATGAGTTTTGAACTGACAAGTCATACCCCATGTTCATCTTAACTACTCTAGCGTGGATTTGTAGTCCTTCAACCAATGCTGCTAAACTAGCTGCTGCACTGAGGACACTACTGAAAGTGTAGGAGTTTGGAGAAACCTTTCCTCGTACCATATTACGAAACCAGGAAACCGCTTCCTCGTAACATCCGTTGCTCACAAAAGCAGATATCATAGCAGTCCATGTTACGTCATCCTTCTCAGGCATTATCCTAAACAGCTCTACACATTTGGAGATCTCTCCTTTTCCGGAAAACCCTTTGATCATATCAGTCCAAGATACAATGTCTTTACTCGGCATCTTCTCGAAAAGTTCATAAGCTTCAGAAACCTGTCCCCGCTGGACAAGACCCGTGATCAACGAGTTCCAAGAAACAGAGTCTTTGCTTCTCATCACACCAAACACTGCTTTGGCCTCCCCCGTAAAGCCAAGCTTAGAGTACATCGAGATCATGGAATTCCCTAGAAACAGATCAAACTCAAGAGGCATCCGTGAAACCAACCCATGAATCTGAATCCCCTCTCTGTATTTTTCGAAATCCCGACAAGCTTTAAACATGACAGCCAAAGTGTTAGCATTAACACTAACATCTCCCTCTCGTCTCATCCTCAGAAACAGAGCAAACCCATCTTCAAAAAACCCACCTTTAAAATACCCATCAATCATAGCAGTCCAAGTAACCACATTTCTCTCAGACATCTCATCAAAGAGTCTTCTAGCATCAACAAGCTTCCCCATTTTGCAAAACCCATCAACCATCGAGCTACACGACACCACTTCTTTCACTTCCATACCTTCAAACACACGTACAGCTTCCTCCCACTTCCCTGCTCTCATATACCCACTCAACAAAACGTTCGAAGCAACGGGATCACGAAACTCAACGGGTGTCTCACCATACAAACACTCCGCCTCATCAAACATCCCCGCCTTAACAAAACCAGTAATCATCGCCGCGTAAGAGACCGCGTTCTTCTCAGGAATGTCACGAAACAAGTCGTAAGCTTTCACCATATCACACTTGTTTTTAACCATAGCTGTAATCATCGCGTTATAAGAAGTTGTGGCTCTCACAGGCATTTCGTCGAACACTTGGCGTGCTTTACTCATTTTGCCATTCTCGGCGTAGGCAGAGATCATCGCGTTCCATGAGACTATGCTTCTATGAGGCATTGTTTTGAAGATAGCTTCGGCTTCTTGGAGATTTCCGTTTCTCGCGAGCTTTGATATTTGAGAATTGCATTGGAAGATAGATGTGCTTTTCGACGTCTCAGGAAAGTTTTGTGTTCTTGTTGTTGTCGGTGAATTGGGAACGTAGTTAGAGACAGCAAGCGTGGAGTTATTACGCCTGAGACAAAGGTTATGTCTGCAAATTAAGCTGTTCTTCGAAATCAGCCTCATCACCATTGTCTAGCGATTACAACGGAGAGAAACGAAGAAACAGCCGGGAAAAAATAAATTTTATTGATTTAAAATATTTAATTTTGTCGAATTTTGTCGAATTTTGGCAATTATTGCTCGAGTTAAATTTTTTTTTTTTGGTAATATGAATCTTTAGATAGATTATGAGAATATTTCATGCAATTATTTTATTTAATATTTCCAATTTCGGATAATAATAACAACCTTGTGTCTATCAAATAAAAGTGTTCAGAAAAGATTTTAAAATGAAATTTAAGTTTTCCCAAAAATTAGTAATCAAATTATGTGTCTATGAATCAGATTGGCTGTACACATCCAAACAAACTTTTGTTTTACATGGATAAACTAAACCTAGATATAATCATATCCAAATAAGAACAAAACTCTGCAAAGGAAGATTTCATCTTGTCTTATCGAAGTAGAAACATTATAATAGAGTTAACCTTTATTTTGTAAATTTTAAAATTAAACTAGATCTCGACCCGCACAACCGTGTGGGTATTTTAATACGAAAATATTTGAAATTATATAATACTTACTCCGTTTTAAATAGATGATGTTGTATAAGATTTATTTTATTTCAAAATATAAGATGTTTTGAGATTTTAAGGTATATTTTGAGGTTTTAAAGTTATCTTTAACTTTATTGGAAACTGTTCAACCGATAAAATTTTACTCTTTTTAATAATTTTTTGAATGATTATAAAATTATATCTTTAAAAATAGTTTTGTAAAAGAATGTAAATTTCTTAATTTTTGTGATGTGATCCACAAAATCATATATTAAGTAACGGAGGGAGTAAAATTTATCAATAAATAAATATAATTTGATTGTATATACTATCCAATTTTATAATAATATGTATGTAGCATATAATATTATTAATTTGAAATTTATAAATTTCTATTTTTGTAACAATTTTTAAAAACATTATTATGTAACATTACTAATTTATATATTTTTTTTTTATTTCTAAATTTTAAATATATAAAAAGTAAATTAAATTGGACATACATAATACATAAATAAAATTTTGGGATATTGTTAAAAGTATATTACATAATTTTAATTTTTTGTTAAAAAATGAATTAAATTTTAATTATATTCTATGGGAATTAAATTTTTAATCAAATAATTTTTGAAACTATATCTTGAAAAGATTCTATAAGATTTTTAAAAGATTTTGTTAGAATTTTCTTAAAATTATTTATTCATATTTCAAATAAAAATTAAAGATATGAAAAGATATTATAATGATGTTATATAAAAGTTATATAAATTTTCTAAAGCTGGTCCGAACTAAAAAATCACACATGAAGTGAGTCATGACTTCTCTTTTAATATAATAGATATACATTCCTACTTTATAGATAAAAGTATATTAAATCACTAATATTTATTTTTCTGTATACTACTATCCATGTTTCTAAATAATATACTCTTTCTGTATAATATTATTCATGTTTGCAAACACCATTAATTAATCTTGTGTCTAAGCAATACAAAATATTAGCTTTTATATTTTCAATAATTTCTAACAAATTTCTTTCAAATTCTTTATATAATTAAATAATTTTAAAAAATCAAATAATTTATTAAAAAACAAATAGAACTTAATTTTAGAGGTTTAAATATTACATATCATTTATCCATCGTTTTAGTTGATTGACCTCAGTGTTTAGTAATTTTTTAAATATGAATATTTTTAAAAATCTAAAATCGAATTATTAGATCACTAGAATAACCAATTATACTACAGGTTCAAACTGAATTTGAAAACAAGTATTTATTACATTTTTTTTCAAATTAACAAAATATTTGTTAATTATTAGTGAAATGTTTCATCATAAAATATTTTTTCGCTTGCAAAACACCCGTCAAAATCTAGTATGATTTATAAGAGATGTCAATACAAATTTCACATCAAAAATTTAGATAAATAATATCTAATAATATGTTCAAATCTGATTAGTACGAGATCTTTTGTGAAGGAGTAAAAAAGTAAATTCATATAGACTTGTCTCTTATACTAAAAATGAATAATATCGTGCTAATCAACAATAAAGAACTGGACATTAGCTTTAACAAATCCAACCATTTAGATAATAAATTTCTTATTTGTTCAAACATTCTCAGAAAAAAAAGTAATTTTTATTAGATAAACAAAAAAATTTCGCTCAATATCAATTTCAATAGAGGTAAACCGATAAACTGATAGTAATTCAATAAGTCCAACTAATAATTTTAAAATTCAGGATTATGTATTATTAAGTGATAGAAAATTTATACAAGAAAACAGAAAAGTTAACATTTAAAAACAAATCTCAACTTTTATCTTTATGGAATAGAAGAAGTGATTTTGTAAACAATTAAAAAGCATATAGACAGATAAAACGATTTGAAATGTCTTAGTGAATGAAGAACGAATATCCCAAATCAATTTTAACTTTGATTATAGTGGATGAAGAACAAAGTTAAAAGGGCATTTATGAATACTGAAACTGAAGCAAAGAAATTAGGAAAATGACTAAATTGTAAGAGATTTTGTCTCTCAAACAGTTTTAACCTACACTAGGTGATTCATGCATGGGAATAACAGTTATAAAATTATCAATTAATTTGTTAATGTTATCGATTTTACTAACAGAAAATTAATTTCTTTTGTAACATATATATATATATATATAAACTATTATTTACGAAGTAATTTTTCGCATTCGAGATCTCATGTTAAAAATTAAAGCGGATAATGTCGTTTTATTCTAATGAATAATTTATATAATTCATTATATAATTTAAAAGAAAATTCATATTAAGAATATAATATATATTATCAACTAACCACATTTAAAAATAATATATTATATTTTGTTTACAGTAGTTTGAAACTTCTGATCCACCGTCCAAATATATTTTTCTTCCTAGGTTATTTGAAATGCCAAGAATATTACATATTAGCCGACTTCCTATTACTTCTGATATCTTATGTGAATATGTTATTGTGATTTGAATTCTTGTTGATATTTTATGTAATATTTGTCGCAGTTGATTCTTTCTGATCTATTGTCAATTTTTTTTTGAAAAACACACACATGTACACATTTCCATATTTTTTTTTCTAATCTATGCATGTTGAAAAGATACATATATTTATAGCAACACACATCATTTCATCATTTGATGACTTTTTCAAAACAAATTTCATTAATGAAATGCACAACCTTTGTCATTTTTGGGTTTCGTATTATTAATAGCTTTTATAAATTGTGGAAGAATTACAATAAGATACTTATGAAAATTGATGATCTATTCAGATTTGATGGTGTTATTTTAGATAGAACAGTTTCAATATGACAAGCTTTTAAAAGTTATACAACTTTGTAACGAAAAGATACAACTCTCTAAAAATAATACACATTAAAGAATAAAAATACACATTTTTAAGATGATAAGACTTATTCTTAACTATCGTAGTCATAATATGACAAACTCTTAAAAACTAATATAACTTTTATAATGAAAAAAAAAACTCTCTAAACAATACATTTTAAAGAACAAAAAGACGTATTTTAAAATGATAAGACTAACTATTAAACAATTTCAAAATATTTTAAATTTGATTGCATTTTACCATGAAAAGACACATTATTAGATGCATCGTCAAATTTTTATGATTAAAAGAAACATTTATACACATTTTCATATTATTTTTCCAATCAGTGCATTTTGAAAAGACACATGAAGTTATAGAAACACGTAGGGATGTTAACGGGCTACCCCAGCATGTTTAAACCCTACCCGTTTAGAGCCCATTAACTGATTGCCTTTTTAAAGCCATATCTGTTAAATTCTGTTTAAGTATGACCCATTTACAATTGTGATACCCGTTTAGACCCGTGAGCTTTTTTTTTTTAATTACAGTTTTATTAATTTTTAATGATGTTAAACCTTATGTTTTTTTGGTAATGATGTTGTCTTTAATTATTTCTTTGATTTTTATTGTTTCTTTTTTTTCTAAATAGAGTTTTAATTATCTTAAGATATGATATTGCGCAAACTTCTTAAAAACCTATTTTTAAATGCAATTTTAATTATTTAAATGCTCAATAACATGTAATAAACCTGATTTGTGTATCTAAACATATTTAAAATCTGCAAGTACATAAAATCTGAAACTTAGAAAGCGAAATACAATAAACCAAAGAGAATCTGAAAGTATATTAAGCGTGTGTCTGAAATTTAAAAAAAAACTGCAAACCATTTAGTAACAACACATAAACCAACTTCATCCTCCTCTCTTAATCTCAAACCAACGACTACTCCATCTACATGGAGTTTTGATCTGCAAAGAAAAAAAAGTGTTAAATAAGACGTTTGAAGACTTTATTCATAAATAAGAGAGTGACGATATCACTATTAGAGCACGTTTCTTAGGTTTTTTTGCCTAAAAAACAAAAATAAAAATAAAAAGCAAAGCAATCGTGGACAGTTATGTGTTAGTGGGGCATGTGAACAGTATAAAATACTCAATAAATTCGGTTTTTAATTAGTAGTTCTTGTAACCGATCATTAAGGGTTTTGTGGGAGTTCACACACTAAAAACCCCACTAAAAACCCCTTATAAACATGCTCTTATTATATTACTGTTTTTACTACAAGAGAAGTCAAAGAATGATAATATAAGATATATAAGAAGCTAGAAACAGAAACAATAAGTATATCGTGCCTCTGTCCTATAATAACCAGAAGTTCAGACAAGAGCGAACACACGGTGGATACCTCTTCACTGTGACAACAACCGCAACGTTCCAACAACAACCATAACAAGTTATTAACAACGATACTCGAGAAAGAATGAAAAAGAACAGTGAGGTTACCTCTTCATTATGACACTCATGTAGTCATGTTCATTATCATTGGATGTTTGAATCTCCTAACCTTGAACTGTGTACTCCTGAGCTGCTTATGGTTTTTCTAACATCTTCAGTGGCAATCTCATCAGTATCTTGGATGGTACCTATAATTTAAAATGAAAGTAAATCCAAGAATCATTTAACTATAAAACTGTTTATGTAATTTTTTAAAGCTACCTTCAAATTCTGCAAATCCTCTAAGCCAATTGCAAACACAAAGCAAAGCTTGAACATTTTTTTGGTAGAAGCTGATTTTGGTATAGAGTCAACATTCTACCTCCAATGCTGAAGGCCGACTCAGAGGTAACTGTAGTAAGAGGGATTGTAAGAAAATCATGCACCATGTCAGCTAAATCACTCAGTCGATGATAATTATTTTTCTAATAGCCTAAGACATCCAAGTTTGGATATTTTTTCTGTTTACTCTTGGCTCTTCTAAATAATTATCTAAATGTGTCTTTGGGTTGTCCACACCAGCTGCAATGCTTCTTTCTAACTTAAAAAGATCCTATACAATGAAGCTTCATATCAATAACTCAAAAGGATCCTATATAATGAAGATGCAATAACAATACTATGGAAGATTCATATCAGTTTGAACATTTACTTACATTGTCAAATTCTTCTTCAAGTGGATATTCATTGACTATCTCATATGGAGTTTGTAAAGTTGAAGAACCTGATGAACTTGCCCACTTTCTAGCTCGATAGTCTTTTGTAGAGCTTCTCCAAGTTTTCCCTAAGTATTGTGATCTTTAAGGCAGAAGTGGTAGGATCCAAAGTTTCATAAGCTTTTTCAAGAATCTCAATTTTAAGTCTCGGATCTAATACAATTCCATAGACAAAATCATATTATAATCTTTCCAATACTTATCAAACTTCACTTGCATTGGCTTAACCATCCCATAATCATCACAGTTAGCATATTTTTTCAAAAATCTTTCTATCCTCCACACCTCTCTGAAATAAACATTTGATGTAGGATACTTAGAACCTGAAAAGTTTGTAGTAGTGACACTAAAAAGCTTCAACATCTTTCATATCTTAACCCCTCGGTTCCAGTCAGCCTCTGAAGGCAAAGACTTATAATGTGTGTCAAAAGACGCCATGCTTTCAAATGATGTTCTCAACTTAATTGCTCAAACTAGCATCGCGTATGTAGAGTTACATCTAGTCGGAACATCGACGGATAGACCTACTCCGCCCGTGATCCCAACTCTCTCAACACAAGCTGCAAAAGACTGTATTCTTTATTAAGATGATTTTACATATCTGACACTTTTCCTAGTGTCATGTAAAAGATCCTTTGCTAACTCTAAACCGTCTTTCACCATCAGATTCAAGATGTGAGCACAACATCGTACATGCATAAACTTCCCATCACATCACAAACCACTGCCACTCATCATCATTGTTGGTAGCGTTATGTAGAGTGAAAGAGAATACTTTTTTCTTCAAACCCCAATCCTTCAAACACTCAATAATCGTGCTAGCAATTTCTCCACTAGTGTGTGGACACTTCAGAAGACAGAAGGCTAAAACCTTACAGTTCAGTTTCTAGTCATCAATGAAAGAGGTAGTTAGACAGAGATAACTCATGGTAGTGGGACAAGCTAGCCACAAATCTGAAGTAAAGCAAAGTCGACCCTGATTGGTTTACAATCCGGATTGAGATACAAACTTCTTGCTCTAACCTTTTCATGCTCAGCATATCTAAAAGGCAAATCATGATAGACTATGATCTCGCTTGTCATCTCTCTATCAACTTTATGATCATATGGAACCCTGTCTAGCTTCTTAGGTCTTTGTGGAAAGGCTTATAAATGGCGATGCAAGTGATGTGTTCCATGTTTTTTAGTATTGATCACTATTTTTTAACCACAATAGTTACACTGACATCTTTCTTTGTCATCACTTTCAACTCCAACTGATGTAAACTCGTTCCAAACTTTAGAAGTTAAGCGCCTCTTGCGTGGCCTTGTTGCTTGAGTTGTTTTAAACACATATCATTTTATAATTTGATAACTTTTTTTGAAACTAATTTCATTTCAGGAAATGCACAATCTTTGTTTTTGGGCTTCATATCATTCATAGTCTTAATAAATTGTGAAAGAATTACAATAAGATTTTTCTTAAAATAAATTATTTATAGTTTTTACTTTCTAGGGATTTATATGAATGGAAACAACTTTTCAGATTTGTTGTTGTTACTTTTAGATTGTACATTTTCAATATGACCAGCTTTTAAAAACTAATACAAGTTTTATAATTAAAAGACACAGTTCTTTTAAATAATATACTTTAAAGAATATAAACACAAAGATGATAATACTTTTACTTACATATGTTCATAAGCTTTTATATTTCCTTGCATTTAGCATGAATATACACATTCTTAGGATGCAAAATCAAACTCGTATGATAAAAAAACACCTGTACACATTTTCATAATCTTTCCTAATCATTGCATGTTGACAATACACATGTAATTATAGAAACACACAACTTTCTTAGAGAACTAATTTCATTTTTATAATTAAAATGTATAATGTTTGATATTTTATTAGCTTCTATTATTAATAGTTTAAATTTGTGAAATATTTAAAATGATATACTTATGGAAATATATTAGTTATAGTTTTTTAAAACCTGTATAGTCAGAACTTTACAGATTTAAATTTGATGTAGTTACTTTTAGATAGTACATATATAATATGAAAATCTCTTTAAAATTAGTTCAGTTTTTATAATAAAAAGACACAGCTCTATAAACTAATATATTTTAAAGAAATTTGACCCAAAAATATATATATTTTAAAGAATAAAAATACACATTTTAAGATGATAAAACTAATTCTTAAACAATTTCACTTTTTATTAAAGGACCAAAGTCCAAGAAAGAAACCCAACTAGCTTACAAGGTTAAAAACAATAGAAAACCAAAACAAAAAGATCTATTAACTATTACCATATGGGCCTTAACCCCAAACACCCAACCAAACGGAAAAAACATCACCCAAGGGAGGGTACATGCATGAAACAGACACGTGTCAAAATCCTCAACACTAAGGAGATACACGTCGCAAGGGGCCCCACATCTTGACTCTTTCCAAGTCACCGCCGGACTTCCACCGGAACACAACCAATAAGTCACATGATTTAAATATCCAGAACCTCCATCTCGCTAGTCTTCCATCTTGTTATCTTCATCGCCTTATCTTTAGCATCAGAGAGCTTCAATCAATTTATTCGAGATCTCATCCGACAATACCTAAATCGACACATGAAGATAACCCACATTAGAGGCTTACGACACTACCCTCAAACACTATAGATAAACTAAACAGAGTTGGGAAAACCTGAACTTTAGCCGGCGATAGTGATACTAGTCGGAGGCTGGTCAGATTTTCGAATCCGGCGAAAAAATAATAATCTTCCTCACTCTCAAAACTATCTCTAACTTTTCAAAAGAGGAAGAGAAAACCAGAGAGAACTCTCTCTAGGAGAGGATGAGAGAGACTTGCATACAAATAGTAATTGTGTAGTTTAGATGCACATAAAATATCAACTTCTTTAAATATTTTAAAAGAAAAGGTAAAAAATAAAACAGTTGTAATAAAACAGAGAAATACAGATGTATTGAAGGTAAAAAAAAATGGTATGGAGAAATACAGATGGCTCATGTCACCCTGGAACAAAATCCTGACCGTTGAGGTTGAGCAGATTAACAACCTGTCGGCAAAATGCTTATTTCCTATAGATTGGGCCCACGATAATTAGCCCAATAGAAGAAAAAAAGATAAGGCCTTAAGTAATCACTCTCTCCACGAAACCTCTCCGTCATCAATTCAATCAATCTAAATCCCATTCATGCATGAACCCTCCATAACTTGTCACAATCAGACCAAATCCATTATCTTTTGTTACTCCAATCATCCATCGAGGGCCCCACCATCTTTGTCCTTTTGTCGTCGATAGTTCCGTTGACGTGGGGATAAGAAACAAAACAAAAGGAACCTCCTTTAAAGACAACAACAACAATGGTAGTGTTGACACGGTTCCAACATCTTCTTCTTCAACCAAGATTACTCTCTTCTCATCAATCTCGTGTTCTCCGTCATCCTCTAATCAGAACTCGAACAGTTATCAGATCGGTGATGGGTTCCTCTTCCTCATCCTCCTCGAAGCTTCTCTTCCGTCAGCTCTTTGAGAAAGAGTCTTCTACTTATACTTATCTTCTTGCTGACGTCTCTCACCCGGATAAGCCTGCTCTGGTGAGTTCTTTGCTTTCATAAAGGTTGAATCTTTCGAAATGGGTTTTGAGAATTGTGTGTGTGTTTTTGATGAATGTGATCAGATTGTTTATGTGAACTTGTATAGTATATAGTTTTGCTTGATGGGGTCATCAGCCCAATTGGTTATAGTTTTCTATGTAAGTGTTTTGCTTTCACAAAGGTGGAACCTTTCGAGATGGGTTTTGACTTGAGAATTGTGTGTGTTTTGGCTGGCGAATGTGATCAGATCGTTTTGTCCCCAAACTTGTATAATATATAGTTTTGCTTTATGTAATCAAGAAGATGATTACACTGAATTAGTTTCGAAAAATATCATAATTTTGATTGTTTTCTGATATGATGCCTGGTGGTGAGCAGTTGATTGATCCGGTGGACAAGACTGTTGATAGAGACTTGAAGCTGATTAATGAGTTAGGCTTGAAGCTTGTCTATGCTATGAACACTCATGTTCATGCTGATCATGTCACTGGAACTGGTCTTCTTAAGGTCTAACTCTGTTTATTAATGATATAACTGGTACAATTTTGGTTTAGATTGATGGTTCAGTGATCTCTCTTTGTTTGCTTTACACAGACAAAGGTCCCAGGAGTGAAATCAGTCATTTCGAAAGCAAGTGGTTCTAAAGCAGATATGTTTCTTGAGCCTGGTGACAAAGTATCTATTGGTGATATATACCTTGAGGTATGAAAACAAAGTGTAATCACCGAGAAACTAAGGGTAGATCAGGAGAGTATTGATCATTTCAATTTTTGATGCAGGTCCGTGCTACACCTGGACATACTGCAGGATGTGTTACATATGTGACTGGAGAGGAAGCAAATCAGCCCCAACCAAGAATGGCCTTTACAGGAGATGCTGTACTTATCCGCGGTTGTGGAAGGACCGACTTTCAGGTACACAAAACAGAGGAACCATAAACCGCAAAGTGGATACATAAGATCTATATTTTTTGACTAGTCACTAATAATCTTTTCATTGAGTGTTGCAGGGTGGAAGCTCGGATCAACTCTATGAGTCTGTGCACTCACAGGCAAGTTATTCAAGCTTATCTTGTCACTCCACATGCAAACCTGATTCATTTTATTGAATGAGCGTTTATGTTTCATGTTAAACCAGATATTTACATTGCCAAAGGACACATTGATCTATCCAGCGCATGACTACAAAGGTTACGAGGTAATCAAATTAAATTAAGAAAAAAAACTCATTCACATTGGTGTTTTTGTAACGAATATGTGATTCATCTGTACAATGGCTTGACACTTATTTTTCTGTTGATTATATTCAGGTAAGTACAGTTGGAGAAGAGATGCAACACAACCCACGTTTAACTAAAGATAAAGAAACATTCAAATCCATCATGTCAAGTAAGGCTTTCCTTTCTCCTCAGCATATGAGTATTGCGGCTTTCCTCAGTTTAATGATAACAATGGTCTTTTGCCCCTTGCAGATCTGAATCTAGCCTATCCGAAGATGATTGATGTTGCAGTTCCAGCAAACATGGTATGTGGATTACAAGATTTGCCTTCTCAAGCCAACTTATAAACTCTCTACACAAGTGGTTCTCTCTGTCACTCTTTCAATTCTATATTCTATCAGCTCTTGAGAGTTTGTTTGTTTTTTCCAATAAGATCTTGTCGTATTAGATAAGATCATTAGAAGCTTGTGTAAGTTACATTGAACATATGCAGTTTGTATTGGAGATGATAACATATATATTACGTGTTCAACTTTCTTTTGGTTTGTTGATTGATGTGTCTGTGTCCACAATAATAATTCAACAACAACTACTAGTCCATGTGTTTGCTGCCACGTGTAGAAACCGCTAAAACCGTTAGATATAATCAAACAACTGAGATGTAGAGAGAGCGAGAGAACAAAAGAAAGTTTTGAGGAGAGAAAATGAGCAAAGAAAAAGACAAAGTAGCTTCTCCTACATCTTACGGCACGTTTCAAGGTGTCCCTACTTATCCACCACCGTTGCATCCTCGTCCTCCGCAGCATCATCTGGTTTCCGGATTCCCTCAGCCGTCTCAGCCTCCCGGGGTAACTCATCACGACCTTTCCGTTCATCAATACATTCATGAACATCAAACTGTTCCTGGTAAGTAACTTTCCAAGTTGAATCTATAGCCTCTTCTTTATGATACGAATGAGAAAAAGCAAGTTGCTAGATACATCTTCAGACTCAAACTCTCTACTTAAAATTACTTGGAACTTCTCATCTTCTTTCAATCATACACAACAAGAACCTGAAGCTTTCTCTCTGTATCTACAAATACTTCACAAATCTTGAAATGCCAGGATATCCTGTCTCTGAAGGAAGATCTGGAAGACAAGAACAACCTCTTCCTTGTTGTGGTCTTGGAATCGGTTGGTTCTTGTAAGTTCTTTTTAGCATCTACCTGGAGCTATACATATCATCTGGTTTGAATCCCAAAGAACTTGGTTTTTGTTTTCTTGAAGGTTTATAACCGGTTTCCTCCTTGGAGCAATCCCATGGTACATAGGAATATTCATCCTAGTGTGTGCTAAGATCAACCCACGAGAGAAACCAGGATACATAGCTTGCGCCATAGCTGTAAGTCCTGCATTGTATATTGTACAGCTGAGAGATATCATCTTTTGAATTAGTTACACTTTCTTTGGTTTCATTTCACAGGCTGTTCTTGCTACAATTGCCATAGTTTTTGGTTTCATTGGAGGAAGAGAAGTCTGGTCGTGAAAGTGTATCATCAACAGAGAAAACTATACAAATGTTCATCAAGTCGTTATTCTTTTGTAATTAATATTATTTTAAGTCCTTGTATTTTAACACTCTCATATTATTTCTTGCATTGAATTGTAAATTGTAAGAACACCTCCAATGGTGTTATCCACCATTAGAGTCTTTACCAATAGTTAAAGACTTTAATCACAAATGTTATTTCAATGGTGTTATCTATCATGGAGTCTTTAGAATATTCTTTTTTTTTGGACTGAATCTTAGAGTCAGAAAACAAATATGAGAATTCATGTTTCATCAACATAAGAGGATTAAATTTGTTTGAATCATTCATGCTTAATTTTCCAAGCTAAGTTTAACCCAATCTGCAGAAGGTCTTCAGCTTCAAAGGAGTTTTGGCAATCACTTGTGGAACTACAATCCAAGCTACTGCATCCTGAGAAACTTCCCGAGCTACTCGACATTTTAAGATAGATATCACCATTGCTAAAAAGAAAGCGAATGAATCATTAGGCCTACTATAGTCATTTTACAACTAACACAAATGAATCAAAAATGTTAGTCATCTCCCCAAATCACATTAGAAGTATACAAAGCAACTAAAATAACAAAATTAGATGACAATTGGGGAAAACAAAAAATAAAAACTATCAGACTAGAAATTCAATTTCAACGAGGAAGGACAATACACAGCAGGGAGAGTTCATGGAAATTTTATTACAAATTGCAGAGCCAATTTCTTTATTTCACATAATTGGATCGGTTAAAGTGAATAGGAGGAGGAGGAGGATAAAGTGAGATGAGCATACAAAGACAAAGTTAGATTCAAGCGAGCACAAAAGCTTTATCTATCTTGTGGATTGGCGTAGAAAACGCGGCGAGAGTAGTTGATGTCTTGGAGGACGAGGGAGAGAGAGAGACGGGAGAGAAAGTACCACGTCGACAAGAATTCAATCCTTCTAGCCCATAATTATGGACTGTTCCTTAATAAATGGTGCACTATTAATTTTCTTTTAATCTGATTTACCTAGGATTTGCGGCTAAGGATCCTCGATATATCCGCGTTGCAGCTGCTCTAAGAGAAGTTGTGGTTAGGCAGAAGACTGAATAAAAGGTCAGAAAGACTTTTCTTTCACTTTGCAGAGTTCCAGAAACAACTGAGCAAGTTCTCAACTACAACTTCAGCCTTGTTTGAATAATTCATGCTTAATTTTCCACGGTCAGTTGTCCCCTTTTACATATTTCAAACGTGTTTGATCCCATGGCAAGTATTCAAATAAGAGCTAGGCATAACAATTTTTGTGTGTTTAGAGAAGTGATATGGGCTGTCAAAACAAACTTGTTTAAACGAAACTTTTTTTGACATCCATAATCTAAACATAGATAGAACTATATGTCTATCTCCAAATAGAACAAAACTTAAATAGAATTGTGACCAGCCGGGATTGGCATAGTCTAGATAATAAATCACATATATTTATTTTTTTAGTAAGCGATATGTTTTCTAACGTAATGGTTGTACTAGGTGTTGTGCCCGCATATGCGGGCATAATTTTCTTACGAATATTTTTTTTGTTTTATTAATTCTAAAATAATATTATAAGTTATTTTCTATAGTTTTGAGAAACCTAAATCAAACATTAAAATATTTTTATATGATTTTTCATAAAAATCTATATGCTTATTATAGTGTTGAAAAACATCCACATAATAAAATATTTTTGAAAATATATTAATATTTTTTCTTAATATTTAATTTTAAATTTTTTTATAACTTACATTTTTATTTTTCACAATAAAAAGATTATTTCAGATAATTGTATAATTTTCTATAAGATATCTTATGTTTTAAATATGCATGAATGTGGATAATTATCCTATTAATTTATTTAACATATAAATTAAAATTTGGTTTTAACTAATTTATATATAAATATATAAATTTCATTAAAAGTATCATTAACTTGAACCGTTCCAATTTTTAATACCTAATATTTAATTATATAATTAAAAGTATTTTTATACAAATATTTTTGTTTGATTAATATTTAATTAAAATCGATTTTATATTTTAATTTTTAAATTTTATAATATAATGATATTATTTTTAAAAGCCAAAATCAATTTTATATAAAATTAAGATCTATAATCATTATCATGTTGTTATAATATTATATTCAGATAATAATAACATATATAAGAATTATCTTGTTTTTGTTTTTTATAAAATTATTATATTAATTATTCTTTATTATCTAAGATAATAACATACTATACTTATCTAATTTTATATTTTAAATTTCGTTTTTAATTATAAAATTAGTTATATATAAAAATTTCATTAAAGGTAAAATAGATATTAACCACTCCAACTTTTAACGTGAGAGCTCCGTTGCGAAAAATCACTTCACTATTTTTATATTTTAATTTTTAAATTTTATAATATAATGATATTATTTTTAAAAGCCAAAATCAATTTTATATAAAATTAAGATCTATAATCATTATCATGTTGTTATAATATTATATTCAGATAATAATAACATATATAAGAATTATCTTGTTTTTGTTTTTTATAAACTTATTATATTAATTATTCTTTATTATCTAAGATAATAACATACTATACTTATCTAATTTTATATTTTAAATTTCGTTTTTAATTATAAAATTAGTTATATATAAAAATTTCATTAAGGGTAAAATAGATATTAACCACTCCAACTTTTAACGTGAGAGCTCCGTTGCGAAAAATCACTTCGCAAATAATAGTATAGATTCCACAGCACAGTTTACATGTTTTACAAAATAAGTCAAACTTTATTAATGAAAATCATAAAAACAGATAAAAAGTATTTGGCATAAGTATGTAATCAATAAAGAACGAAGATCTGAAATTGATTTTAACTTTGATTATAGTGGATGAAGAATTAAGTTTTAAAGTGTGTTTTTAAAGTGAAACGGAAGTAAATCGATTAAGAAAATGATTAAATGAGAAACGATTTTCTCTCTCTAGAATATATTTTAAACTAGATTAGTTGAATTTTTCCTGTTTATGCATGAATATAAAAATTTATAAAATTATCAAATCATAATAGTTGTTGATGTTTTGATTTCATTTATACAAATTTTTTTTCTTTTTGTTATATTAATACAAGTAAGTAAAACAGTTTACTATATATATAATTATGTTGTTATTGTAGTTATATATATATATATATATATATATATATGTGTGTGTGTGTGTGTGTGTGTGTGTGTGTGTGTGTGTGTGTGATTTTAGATACAATAGTATGGATTACTTCAATTATTCATTTTGGATATACTGAATTTCATCTATAATACCAATTGTTTTTTTCCAAAATAACATAAGCATATTTTCAGTTGTTCTTAGTTTTGTTAATCCTCTTGTATTTGTAGATCTATTTGTTAATTTTACATACGTTGTTTTGGAAAAAAGTCAAAATCAATTGGTAACAAAAAGTAAAATGTTAAGGATTTCGGTGTCGCATTATCAAACATTACTAATAATCTTTTAGATTTTATGCAGAAAATATCCACAAAATAACTAATTTATAATAATGATTGTATTACACAACCCAATTTACATGTATACAGAATAAACTCAAAACTTTATCGATGAAAATCATGAAACAGATAAAAAAGATTTGACATATCTTAATCTATAATCAATGATGAACGAATATCCCAAATCAATTTTAACTTTGATTTTTTTTTGAACACATTTTAACTTTGATTATATTGGATAGAGAACAAAATTATGATGTGTGTTTATGATGAGTGAAAATAGAAGCAAATCGATTAGAAAAATGATTAAATGAGAATTGATATCCTCGCTCGAACAGAATTTAAGTTAGATTAGTTAATTGTTCAGTACTCAGGCATAAATATAAAAATTTATAAAATTATCAAATAATAATAATTTGACTAATTTTTTGATTTCATTAAGAAAAAATCTAAATATTTTGAAATGTAAATATAAGTAAATAAAATAGTTTACTATACATAGTTATTTTGTTATTTTAACTATATATATTTATATATATAAGTGTGTGTGTGTGTGTGTGATTTTAGATATAACTAGATCTTTTGGCCGCGCTACGCGCAGCTAGTCTCATAAACAAAATTTCCAATTATATTATTTATATATATAATATATTGTATAATTAAATTTATAATTAAAAAAATAAGTAATAGAATATTAAATTAAATAGAAAAAATAATGATTGACAAAATCATTATAATTAATGCAAGTAAGAGTTTCATAAAAAAATACTGATAGTGAACTACTTTTTTTTTTTAGTTTTTTTTAACAGAACTTTCATTTTATTTTTGGCATAAATAACTTACATCATAATTATTGTAATATATTAATATGTAGTTTTATATTTTCTATCTTCAAAATGTTGGTAGAAAATAATCACTATCAAAATCTGAAATTAAGTATATAAAATGAATTGACTTTTATTTTAATTTAAAAATTATATAAATTTAAGATTGTATATATTTTATTGTTATGAATAATGTCTATTTATTCTATTTATTTATAAACTGAATGTTATTAATTTATCCTTGCCATCAATGTTTTGAATACCAAACCGAAAATTAATTTGACATTGCAGTTAGGTCAATGGCCATACCGATCCAACTCTGTCGTAAATTTAATTTAATTTTAACTTAAGTATCTATATATATGTATAACTATAAAATTATTTTTAAGACTTTTTATCATTGTTTGAATCTAAAATGATATAGAAATAAAATGAAAATTTCAAAAATAATATAAATATAATGAAAAATAACTTATTTAAATAGATATTAAAATTAATACAGGTTTTTGTGAAAGTTTTTTTTTATTTTGATTTTTTTAATTTGAATTTTAAAAATCCATGGTTTAATATCTTACTGGACCATCGGTTTTAGCGAGAAACTGGTTCTTAAACCGAATTTATTGATTTTTAGCAAAACTCACAATTGTTTAGAAGAGAGAGAGTCATGATCCAACCAGCCGGTTCTAGTTTTTAAAACACTTCTTATGAGAGAGCATTACTTTTAATAACAAACAACAAAATTATCTTAGTAGACATATATAATGCACATAGATTATTAGCAAATTCAATCGTTTGATACTTTTTAAAAAAAACTGATACAATATATATTATGAACATGTTCTAAAATTATAAAATCATATATGGTCATATGCTACAATTAAATTTAAATTTTGTAATATTCTAAATATATAAAAGTATATTTAGATATTGAACAAAACTGGAAATGGATAAATAGTTAGCTAAGTCCTTAATCATGGTCATGCGATTTTATCTTACATGTTTGTGTTCGTATATTGTCTTGATATTTTTGTTATACTAATAGCTTTGATATATCGAGCAGATTGACATTTCTTTTGGTAAGAAAAATAAAGTAATATATTTGAAACATCTTATTCTGAACAATATATATATATTAGTTTATGATGGTTTTGTTAGCTAGCTAGTTATTGTAATCTTCCTAACCAAATAACTATATCAATCGACAGTCAATTAAACACAACCATTAAGGCCAAAAACACAAGTACGATTAAAATAAATTAAAACTAAAAGAAAAAGAAAAACGCCAATAATTATCACGCAAGAAATCTATGAAGTTGCAGACAAATTTAGGTATCCCTTAACAACTACACATCGTTCACTGTTCAAACCAATGAGGTCGACCTTAGATGCGTACTTGTTGCAACTGTTCCAAGGAGGCAATCGAATCTTCGCGCGACCCATCACAACAGTACCATTAGATGTTCCTGGATCTTTTGTACAAATCCCTCTGACAAACTCAACATAGAGGTATTTGTAGGCAGAAGAATGTAAATCAATCACTAATCTTTGATTGAACTGATGGACGCCTCCAAAAGACTTGACCACTACTGTTCCATTTACATCTTCTTCGTCTATCCATACCATAACTCTGAAAAATCCTGGACCCTTGGTATCTTTCATCTATTGTGAATCCTTTATGGATATCAAGGAGTAACTCTGTGCTTACAGATTCCTGGACTTTTTTCCCCTCTGCTTTTCCCTCACCATCCATGATGATGAATAAATGAGAATGTAAAATACATAATTTAGTGTTTGTCGTATTTTGTAGTCATAGACATTTAGTGCTAATCAAATAAAATGAAACATAATTAAAATAATATCTCTAAACATTGCATATTGCAGTATAAAGATTAGTAGATTCAAACTGTTTTTTCTTATTAGGATAAGCCATAAACTGTTTTGATTAGCCAGCCAACGCATACTACGTACTTTGTAAAAGGAAAAGGAGAGGCACACAATTGAACATGCAAGTGGTTAAAAAACATTCACCAAGCTTTATCTTACACTCCAANAATAATATCTCTAAACATTGCATATTGCAGTATAAAGATTAGTAGATTCAAACTGTTTTTTCTTATTAGGATAAGCCATAAACTGTTTTGATTAGCCAGCCAACGCATACTACGTACTTTGTAAAAGGAAAAGGAGAGGCACACAATTGAACATGCAAGTGGTTAAAAAACATTCACCAAGCTTTATCTTACACTCCAAGCTTCTAAATTCTCAGTTCACCAGTTGGACAACATTCTCCAGAGTTCATCATCATCCCAATCTCCCGCCTTGGTTCACCAATCCGGCTTGATATGCCAATACCCCCTAATTTATGTGAACCATATCTCAGCTAACACCAATATTAAAAAGGCTAATAGCTTATACTGGTCTTGGAGATATGAATTGTANTTACACTCCAAGCTTCTAAATTCTCAGTTCACCAGTTGGACAACATTCTCCAGAGTTCATCATCATCCCAATCTCCCGCCTTGGTTCACCAATCCGGCTTGATATGCCAATACCCCCTAATTTATGTGAACCATATCTCAGCTAACACCAATATTAAAAAGGCTAATAGCTTATACTGGTCTTGGAGATATGAATTGTACTTGCGTGTTGTTGTTCCACTATGAGCCACCACAAAAGCAGCCTATAGATAATCACTGAAGTTTCAAGGAGGGAAGCACATATTAAACATGAATGAGTGCTTGAATAAAACACCAAGGGCCCTGCAGTGGATGCCACTCGAAAAGTAATCTGGATAACATAAATATTAATAGTAATGGTGGTAACATAGAGGAAAAATATAAGGGAACGAAGACAAAAGACCAACCTCCAATAACTCAAAACCTATCAAAAGCATCCACATAAGCGGTTGATTTCTGATCAAATTTCCTTTTCTCCACCAACAAAGATGTTTGCCCAGAAAAACATGTCAATCACTGTGTCCTGAAAAACTGTCAAAACCTATAAGCCTTTAGATAGTTATGCCAAGTTGCCAACCAAAATGAGAAGCCGTTGATAAGAAAATCTATATATTCTCTGTTACTCCATGCCTTGATTCTCTTGACTGCAACCTGCAAGAACACAAATGATCAACAAAAAACCGAACATGCCAGCAGAATGTTTCACGATCTGACCCCCAATACACACTGCCAAAGCGACTTTCACCTAGTTTATTAACGTAATTTAAACTGTCTGGGTTTAGTGAAACTTTTTCAATGAGAATATCTTTCGATATGGCTCTGTCTCCGCTTTAATTTTTCCTATGTAAGCGTGACATCAAACAAAGTTATGCCGAAGGATAACCTTTTTCAGACCAAAATCAAGAAACAACAAATTTAGCCACTTATGATCTTCATAACTGGCTACCTATGATCTTCATAGTGTACCTGTGTATTTTCTAGAAATTTCCAACAAAAAAAACTTTTTTGAAATCCATTAGAAACGAAGGAAAGGCATGAAGATTGGAGCATAAATAGACTCCAAGTGGATATAAAATCCTTGATCATTAATCAGGAAGAACTCCATAACAGATTTAGCCGATGACACTTTTTTACAGTAGCCAAAGGAAAGATCAGACAAATCCACAAACAAAAGAGAGATTTTAAAAATCATCGGAGTTAATGAATTAAGAAGATAGACAGATACGTACAAAGAATTTTCAGCCTGTAACAGTAATAAAATTAGAGGAAAAGTTACGACTGTTACATGTTGATGATTGCTGAGTGATATCGATCAAGAGATATACCATCCGTTGTTAGATTGAAATTCCATTAAAGAATTGTAGACACGTTTTTTGTTGAGTGATCAGGCACAGAGATATGGAGATAAGATCGCCGGAATTCATCGCTTGAGAGAGTGTTATACAATTTTGTGCTCAACAAATCTAGAAAAGAGAGAGTTATAAAGAAACTTAGACAGAGGAAGGCGAAAGGCAGCCATAAATGAGATTTAGGGAGGTTTGATTGCACAGAGATAGATTAGAGAGAGGAAAAGGAAGAGGAAGCGATGAAGAGAAATAGCGACACGGGAAGGAGGAGAGGAAGGACGAAGAAAGCTTCATTGCAAATTTTTTAGGGTTATTTCCTAAACTGGGCCTAATGGCCAGAGTAAATTAATCAAACATGAAAAAATTGATAAGCCCAAACGATAGAGGTGTCCTCTGACGTGGTGGAAATCTGTTTTTTTATTGGTTAAATATTATTGCACATGTGGACAGTGTAAGAGTGCTTTATTTAGCCCTTTTATTCATAGTAGATAGTCTCGATCGGTTCAATTATTCATTTTGGATTCACTAAAGTTCATTTATTTATTTTTTTAAATGAAATCATAATTAACTTTTATTTAATTAGGCCACATCATATTTTATGTTGTTTTGAAAAATAAATTGGTACAAAACAATAGAAAAACAAAAGGCAAAATGTTGATGAACTTGGTTTTTCATTATCAAACATTACCAGTGATTATTTAATGTATAGTAATTGATTAATCATTCACATATAGTCATATATGAATATATGAATATCCGCAAAATAGTTAAATCACAACAATTGGTAATATTTCACTTCTTAGGTATTTTTAATATATTTTAAATATTATATGGATGAAAATCAAGTAGAAGATTATTTTTTTAAAAAACAATTTAGTCTTATTAATTATACAGGTGATTGAAGTATAAGAATTTAGATTGATTTGGTTATTCTACTTACTTTTGTTCATTCCATTTTGTTTATTTTTACTTGTAAATATATAGATTACACCACTAATCATTTTGTTTAAACTTTTTTTTGTCTCTAGATAATAAGGCATTAACCTATTTGATTTATGTTGGATATGGATGTGTTTATGTTTTATCTATTATACTAGGTTAAGACCTTCAAATTATGTGATATGAACATATATATATAACTTATTTTTACATTTTTATTACTTATTTATTTATTTTTATTTATTTTATGTTCATTTACGTATTATTAAATAATAAATATATTGAATAATTGAGAATCGAGAAAATATATGTATATAATTAAACTAAAGTAAGCACATAAATCAAGGTAATCATTTTTATTTGTTTTATAGGGTATTTAAATAATATTAACATAATATATTAAAAGTTTTGGTATGAATATTTAAATGAAACTTCCTAGTTCACACTCATATAATTTTTTAAAAAATTTGTATATTTGTGGTAATAAAAAAGTTAAAAAATTATTAGAAAATTTTCAATGTGAAATTTTGTAATAGTTTAAGTAATTAATAATCATTTAAAAATTTAATGTAAATTTCAAAATTAAATTATTCAGGTCTTAATATATTTTCAATAAGTATTTCAAAATTAACATATTTATATATATATATATATAATTTTAATATCTGTTAAATGAAATTTTGTATTCATATGATTTTATAATCATTTGTATCCTTTTGATAACAAAAATGTAAATCCATTGTTTACAAAATAATCATTGTAAGACCTTTCAACAATTTTAGTAATTTATAATAGTTTTAAAAAAATTATAATATAACATATAGAAAAAAGTCTAAATTTTTTATTTTATGGTTAATGTGATTATTTAATTTTTAATAATTAAAATTAAACAAAAAGATAGAGGATACAAAAATTATTATGAAATCTTTATTATTCAAAAGCATTAATTTCCGTATACATATTTATCATATTAGGTATTCCGTTGCTTTGTTTAAATAAAAATAAATAATATTATTTTATAAACTACTAATCAATTAAATAATTAATTTAATAAAATATAATATATATATATATAGATATACTAGTCTATTTTAAAAATATATAAGAGATATTTTGGATACTAATCTATCAAATGTATATAAATACTAATCTGTTAAAATGTTAGATGATTCTGAGTTAAGATATAAGAGATATTTTGGAAACTTACCATCCTTGGATAATACGTAGATGCATTTTTACGTGTCCAATATGTTTAAGATTGTTGGCAAAAAAAATCAAATTTACAATGTTCTAAAATTTATATTTCCAGTTTGGTTATTCATGTACTATATTTGTTTTCTAGAAAGGAAACTAATTTTGCATCTTTTATTATATGGAGTTTTTTTATTCAAGTTCTTGATATACAGTATAGTTGATCTTTGGCGTTTTTTTTTTTTATAAATTTCAATGTTATTAACCTTTTTTTTTGTTAACTTCAATGTTATTAACCTAATATTACAAATAGAAAATATAAAGTTAAGGCGATTACACAAAGTTGGAAGCAGAAATACTTATCTCAAGGTGGAAAAGAAGTCTTGCTAAAGGCTATTGCATTAGCAATGCCAATCTACTCGATGAATATTTTTAGATTGCCAAAGGAGACGTGTGAAGAGATCAATGCAATTTTGGCTAGGTTTTTGTGGGGAAATGGAGATAGAAAAGGACTACACTGGTACTCTTGGGACAGAATCAGTGTGCCAAAAAGGGAAAGAGGTTTGGGTTTCCGAGATTTGGAAATTTTCAATCAAGCTCTGCTAAACAAACAAGTATGGAGGATTATGCAACACCCACATTGCCTCATGGCACGTATTTTGAAGGCACGCTATTTCCCTGATGGAGATATATTGAAAGCAACACAAAGGAAAAAAGCATCTTATGCATGGAAGTCAATACTATATGGGAAAGACTTGCTTGTTAAAGGAATGAGATATATCATTGGGAATGGTTCGATGATAAATGCATGGACAGACCCTTGGATTCCTGATCATCCACCAAGACCACCGAGGCCCAGGGGAAGTTATCAAGTCGATGAAAAGGTTAATGTTTTCTTTGATACTAGAAGTGCTCAATGGAATGAAGAAAAGTTGAGAGAAGCTATAGTTCCAGAAGATGTGGATCGGATTCTGAACATTAAACTGAGTTTTACAGCACAACAAGATTTACTGGGTTGGAGCTATAACGAAGATGGTATCTACACAGTTAAATCAGGTTACTGGTTGGGAACACACCTACCAACTAATGATAACTTACAGCCAACGCATGGAACTGCAGAGGTAAAACATAAGATATGGAAGACAAAGGTTCCAGCGAAGGTTCCAGCGAAGTTAAAACGCTTTATGTGGAGATTACTTTCAAAAAGTCTGGCAACAGGTGTAAATTTAAAGAGAAGACATGTTACTCAGGATGATCAGTGCAAGAGGTGTTGTATGGGCGTGGAGTCGGAAGAACACATTTTCTTCGAGTGTGCTTATGCAAAGAGAATATGGCGTGAATCAGGTGTTTCTAATCTCACTATTAATGATTCAAATTCAAGTTTGGAAGCTAAAATAGAGGCGTGTCTTCAAATTTCTACATCTTCTCGTCTAACACATTTTCAAGATCTTCCTTTTTGGTTACTTTGGAGGATTTGGAAAAGTAGAAATACTTTGGCGTTTCAGAGAAAAGAAATTAACTGGAGATCTATTCTGAGATATGCTAGAGAGGATGCTAGAGAATGGAAACAATCTGCAAATAGTGAAGAGGAGGATAATAATGAAAGAAGATGGAGAGGGTCCTCATATAATTCAAAAGTCTGGAATAGACCGGAAAATGCAATACTAATGGTGCTCTTAGTAATGAACAGCTACAGGGAAAGGCTGGATGGATTATAAGAGATGAAAATGATGTCTGTAAAGGTTCGGCTCAGGCTAGAGGGAGAAAATGTAATGATGCTCTGGGATGTGAGTTACAAGCTATTCTTATGGCTCTGCAACACTGCTGGAGTTTGGGACATAGGAGAATAATTATGGAAAGTGATAGTAAAAAGGCAATCGAGATACTAACGAATAAGAGGCTACATTTTGCACATTACAACTGGCAAAGAGAAATTCTCTGGTGGGTCAACAAGTTTCAAGAAGTGAAGTTTCAATGGACACAAAGAAATGGAAACAAGGTTGCTGATTGTCTAGCAAAAAGTCTACAAAATGGAATTGATTTCTGTTTTCATTTTTATGTTCCTCATTTTTTACATAATTTGCTGCATGAAGACTATGTAAACTCAAGTTTAAATTAATAAAGTTGATGTTATAAAAAAAAAAAAATGTAAACAAAGAAAAAAGGAAAAAAGAAAGTTCGAGATCAACCCTGCTCCATAAAACCCTCTCTCTGTTCTCTTCCTCTTGTTGCTCTTTTCTGATTCTTCGCTGCGACAATCCATAAAACTTAAACCTAAAGCAAAGCTCTCAGCACCCAAACCTCTCTCGCGATCCCCAGGTACGATATCGATCCTCTCCTCCTCTCTAACCCTTTAGCTTCAGATTAGATCTTTAGATCTGAATCTCATCTTTACCGTACATCTCACTTTTAGGGTATATTCGAATCAATGTCATAAACCCATCTCTGAAGTTTGAATCTTGTTTCTCGTTGGAGATTCCAATCATCTAGGAATATAATTTAGCTTCTGAACTGTTTTCAATAGCTTTCTGATTGAATTAGGAATTATTCTAAAGGTTGAAACTTTTATGCGTTTTATCAGGTTTTTGAACAAGACAAAAGCTTGAGAATGAGTGTAGTTGGGTTTGATTTCGGAAACGAGAACTGTCTCGTTGCTGTCGCGAGGCAGAGAGGTATCGATGTTGTGCTTAACGATGAGTCTAACCGTGAGACTCCTGCCATTGTATGCTTTGGCGAGAAGCAACGTTTCATCGGAACTGCTGGAGCTGCTTCCACCATGATGAACCCTAAAAACTCTATTTCGCAGATCAAGCGTCTTGTGGGTCGTCAGTTCTCAGACCCTGAGTTGCAGAGAGACATCAAGTCTCTTCCTTTCTCTGTTACAGAAGGACCTGATGGGTACCCTTTGATCCACGCTAATTATTTGGGAGAGAAGAGGGCGTTTACTCCCACTCAGGTTATGGGGATGATGCTTTCTAACTTGAAAGGCATTGCTGAGAAGAATCTGAATGCTGCTGTGGTTGACTGCTGTATCGGTATTCCTGTTTACTTCACCGATCTTCAGAGAAGAGCTGTGCTAGATGCAGCGACTATTGCAGGCTTGCATCCTTTGCATTTAATCCATGAGACAACAGCAACAGCTTTGGCGTATGGTATCTACAAGACGGATTTGCCCGAGAGTGAGACTCTTAATGTTGCGTTTATTGACATTGGCCATGCAAGTATGCAAGTTTGCATTGCAGGGTTCAAAAAGGGACAGCTTAAGGTCTTGTCTCACGGCTTTGATCGGTCTTTAGGAGGAAGGGACTTTGATGAGGTTCTTTTCAATCATTTTGCTGCCAAGTTCAAGGAGGAGTACAAGATTGATGTCACTCAGAACGCTAAGGCTAGTCTCAGGCTGAGGGCTGCGTGTGAGAAGCTGAAGAAGGTGCTAAGTGCTAACCCTGTGGCGCCATTGAATATTGAGTGTTTGATGGATGNATTTTGCTGCCAAGTTCAAGGAGGAGTACAAGATTGATGTCACTCAGAACGCTAAGGCTAGTCTCAGGCTGAGGGCTGCGTGTGAGAAGCTGAAGAAGGTGCTAAGTGCTAACCCTGTGGCGCCATTGAATATTGAGTGTTTGATGGATGAGAAGGATGTTAGGGGTGTTATCAAGAGGGAAGAGTTTGAAGAGATCAGTGTGCCTATTTTGGAGCGTGTGAAGGGGCCTCTGGAGAAGGCTCTCGCTGATGCTGGGTTATCAATTGAAGATGTACATATGGTAGAGGTTGTTGGATCTGGCTCTCGTGTTCCTGCCATTATCAAGATTTTAACTGAGTTTTTTGGTAAGGAGCCAAGGCGTACAATGAATGCTAGTGAATGTGTGTCTAGGGGATGTGCCTTGCAGTGTGCTATTCTCAGTCCCACCTTCAAAGTTCGCGAGTTCCAGGTGCATATCTATGCTTAAATAATATGTGTGTTTATCGTCTACTATAGTACTTCAGATTATCTGACAAGTCATATTATTATATCTTACTAGGTTCATGAGAGCTTCCCCTTCTCAATTTCGCTTGCATGGAAAGGAGCAGCTTCTGATGCTCAAAATGGAGGAGCTGAGAATCAGCAGAGTACCATTGTTTTCCCCAAAGGAAACTCCATCCCAAGTGTCAAGGCTCTAACGTTTTACCGCTCTGGAACCTTCTCTGTTGATGTGCAGTACAGTGATGCGTCCGAGTTGCAAGTACCTCCTAAAATCAGCACATACACGGTTTGATCTTCGTTACCCATTGTCGTTTATGTTTAAGACTGTAGCGCTCTTGTTTCTCATGGTTGTTCTCCTTCTTTTGCAGATTGGTCCCTTCCAGTCATCAAAAGGCGAGAGGGCAAAGCTTAAAGTGAAAGTGAGATTGACCCTTCACGGGATTGTCTCTGTTGAATCAGCAACTGTAAGTTTGTGTTGTTATAACCCACGCCTTCCTTTATAAACTTGAGATTGTTTAATTTATGCTAAGTTTGTATCTACCTCATTTGCAGCTTTTGGAGGAAGAAGAAGTTGAAGTTCCGGTCGCAGCAGAGCAGATGGACACTGACAAAGTTTCTGGTGAAACTGATGTGAACATGCAGGACGCCAAGGAAACCAATGATGCAGCTGGTACTGACAATGGTGTTCCTGAGTCTGCTGATAAGCCGGTGCAAATGGAAACTGATTCCAAGGTTGGTTTCTACTTAGCTGATGTTCCTTACTCTATTCTGTCACTCGTGAACTTGATTTAATCAAATTGGTATGGTATGTGCAGGCTGAGGCTCCGAAGAGGAAGGTCAAGAAAACAAATGTCCCACTGTCTGAATTGGTATACGGTGCCTTGCAATCTGTTGACGTCCAAAAAGCCGTGGAGAAAGAATACGAGATGGCTCTCCAAGACAGAGTTATGGAGGACACCAAGGACCGAAAGAATGCTGTCGAGTCCTATGTTTATGATATGCGAAACAAAGTAATTAAACACTTTTCTTTCTTTCCCTCATTTTTGTCTGTATTGGCTTGTAGGCATTCATTTAATAAGTGTTGGCTACTGACGTGTTTTGTTTTTCAGTTGAGTGACAAATACCATGAGTACATAACCGAGTCAGAGAGGGAAGCTTTCCTGGCGAAGTTGCAGGAAGTGGAGGATTGGTTATATGAAGATGGGGAAGATGAGACTAAAGGAGTCTATGTTGCAAAGCTTGAGGAGCTCAAGAAGGTAATAGACACATGATAGATCAATGCTTTATTGTGTTCTACTTCAAGAACAAAATGTTTTAACCGAGCTTGGTGATTGGACTTTGATGTAGGTGGGTGACCCTGTTGAGATGCGTTACAAGGAGTCACAGGAAAGAGGGACGGTCATTGGTCATCTTGGTCACTGTGTTAACAGCTACAGAGAGGCAGCTGTCTCTAATGACTCCAAGTTTGACCACATTGAACTAGAAGAGAAGCAAAAGGTAAATAACAAGTGCTGAGATTTTCATTTTTTTTTTCATAAGAATGTTGAGGGTGTGATTTAACTAGTTGTTGTGCAAAATGTAAATGAAGGTATTGAACGAGTGTGTGGAAGCAGAAGCATGGATGAGGGAGAAGCAGCAGCAACAGGAGGCGCTCCCCAAGTACGCAACACCAGCGTTCTTGTCAGCTGATGTTACAAGAAAGGCGGAGGCATTGGACAAGTAAGCAAAAGCTTGGTCTCATGTGTTTCTCTTGTACTTGGTGTTGTATTTTGTATAGTAAAAGTGACTTAAACATCTTTTGGATATTTTTGGCAGGTTTTGCAGGCCTATAATGACCAAACCAAAGCCGGTTGTGAAACCGGAAGCACCACCAGCCAAGGCGGCGGAAGAGGAGAAGAGTGAGCCACAGCCAGCAGAAGGCTCTGGCGAAGAACCAATGGAGACAGAGAAGCCTACTGAAGATAGTGCCTAAGAGATGCTGGTGCGCGTGTATCGATTTTGTTTTTACCTTTTTTCCTTAGTTCTTGTCTTCGTTATTACTCCCTTTAAGATTCTATATTTAAACTCTTTTCTTTTCGATTACAATTTTCAGGAAGTATTGTTTCCCTTTGTGTTTTCTTTATAACACTATTTATCGTGTGAGATGTAGATTTTTTCTACATGTTAAATATCTTCCTGAACTGGTTTTGTAGCCAGAGCAAATGATAAATGTTTAGTTTTAACAATGGTTATATTCAGTAAGTACAGTGTTAAAAAGGAAGCCTTTATTTTAAAAAACATTGTTATGCAGCACAAAATATTAGTATGAGATTATGATAGAGAAGACTAGCTAAGAAAAGTCGCTGTTTTCTTGCTTGCTGTTCCTGTGGTCGGTGGGAGCGGCTTGGTGTCATTGTTTCTTGCTTGTTGTTTCGGTGGTCAGTGTTTTTCACCGTCGTGAGCGGCTTGATGTCGTCTTTGTGTAAATCTCGTTGGTTTTAATTTCGTCTTTGTGTAAGTCTCGTTGGTTTTAATTTTGGCTAGCAGGCTTCCCTTGGTTTATGGTCTCAGATCTGGTCAAAGGAAAGGTAGTGATGGTCTGTTTTTGGATTTTGTTGCTTTGGCTCGGTTGGAGAGTCGATGGACGAGGGGATCCACGGCTTATGTGTGGTGCTCGTAACATTGTTGTCCGGTTTCAGAACCAGCAAAGGTTAGCTATCAAGCCTTATCTCGTGTCTCTCCTGTTTGTGACCATTCCTTGGATTGTCTTGCTTTATTTTTTGTGTTAGTCTGTAGCTATTTATCTGTGTTGTGCTGGGTTCTGAATCAATAACTGCTTGGGTTCTATGAAGGAAAAGGCTGGTTTTGTTTACTATCTTATTGAGTTGGTTGGGTTGTTTCTCTAGTTTCGAAACTATTTTCTGGTGCACGGCGAAAGATTACAAACGGCTCAGATGTAGGTTATTACTTCTTCCATCGGTGTTAGAAAGGCGTTTCTCAGGCAAGTCAATGGTAGTTTTGGTCGCTCGACCCTTTTCTCTTCGCCTATTGGCGGTTGTTGTTGAAGGGTTTGTCTGTGTTTTATCTCAAATTGAGTTCAGATTTTTTGATTTTCTGGTAAAAGGTCGGTCTTGAGGCAGTGTTAGAAGAGTCTTTGTCCTCGATAAGATGGCCTCGTCTGACCTTTGTGTTTAAGTATTCTTTGCGAAGCTTCAGAGCTGAGTTATAGTGTTAGTTCCTTGGCTTTTAACAGACGGGTTCATCTGGATTTTCTGGTAAGGGACTGTGGAGGTTTTGCTCAATCGCGTTGGGTCCATGAGTTGTTGATTGTCAACATGTTTCTTCGTCAACTGCTCTCATCCCAAATAAATGTGACCTCCAACTCTTTCTCGTTCATTATGGCATCCGGTTTCTGGTAGTTTTGCTTTGTGTTAGCCTTAGAAGTTCTTAATATTCTGGCTCGTCCTTGTTTTTAACTTTATGTATGTTTAGTTATTGGTCTTGTTTCTAGGGGGCTATCTTTGCCTCGCTGGCTTATGGCTCTGGAAGGAGCATGTTCCTTGCCAGCTTAGCTCTCGTAAGAACTGCAGTTTATCCGTTTACAACTAAATCTAATATCTTAAATAGTGGTAAGAATTGTTTAATAAAACAAACTAGATTCTGATCCGCGTGATTGCGCGAGATTATTTATAATTTACTTAAATTACAGTTAAATGATTGATGCTATTTTTAAAATTTGGTTCTCGATAGATTGTATTTATTGATTTTCAGTTTGATTCATGTTTACTTATGAATATTTGTTTTTGGTTCATAATATTATACTAATATTTTGATTATTTATTAATTGGGGTTTGATTTGAAATATTTGTCAGAATTATATGAAATTTTACATAATTTAATTAGAATATCTTTTTATATCTCTATTTTTTTATTTGAAACACAAATGAATATTTTTTGAAAAATTCTAACAAAACCCGTTGAAATGTCTTTTCATAATCTTTTTAGAATTTATTTTCGAAAACTTATTAACTAAAATATTAATTATCATAAAATATAATTAGAGGTTATAATAATTTAGTTTTCATTTGTAAACTAAAATTAAAATTATATATAAATTCAATTATATGTAATGATAATAAAACAGATTAATGTTGTTTTTAACGCTGACTTATTATGATATTATAATTATGAGAAAGATTACATAGGAGTTTCGACAACCGACAATACTACATGACTTATGATGATCTAAACCTAACTGCATTACCTGAGCCGTCTCATGAAGATTCACATTTGGCCGAGTCTACTTGCACTATGCTGAAAATCCCTTGTTAGTATTTCCTTCATAACTTACATAATTATTGAATAAATCAATTTCATCAGGGATTGAAATCTGGATTTCCTGGTGTAGAAGTATTAATGAACTCTCGGTCAAACCATTGGACTAAGGAAATTTCCATAAAATATAAGAATATTTGTAATGAGTTTAAAACTTAAATATGACAACATTGATAAATAGATAAATTATAGGACTTGTTTTAATAGATTAGAATACGAAGTCACTTATCTGATCCTTTTGTCCCAATACAAAACAATTTCTTTTTAATGGTTTTGATGTATATTATTAACCATTTGTTTTGAGCAACATGATGTAATTAACCTAAACATTACAAATATAAAATGTTAAAACAAAAGGAAAAGGAAAAAGAAAGTTCGAGAAGAACCCTAAAGTTCGAGAAGAACCCTGCTCCATAAAACCTTCTCTCTCTTCTCTTCCTCTCCTCTGCTGCTACGATCCATAAAACTCAAACCTAAAACAAACCTCTCTCTCGATCACCAGGTACGCTTTAGATCCTCTCCCTCCTCCTCCTCCTTTAACCGTTTAGCTTAAAAACAGATCTTTAGATCTGAATCTCGCATTCTCCGTACATCTCACTTTTGGGGTATATTCGTATGAATGAATGTCATAAACCCATCTCTGAAGTTTGAATCTTGTTTCTCTTTGTAGATTCCGAGCATCTGGGAATATAATTTTAGCTTCTGAACTGTTCTTAATTGATTTCTGATTGAATTAGGTTTTAAAGTCTTAACCTTTAATGTCGTGTACACATCTCTGAAGTTTCTCTGTTTACTATCTTAGGGTTCGCTTTATAGATTCCGATCATCTGGGAATATAATTTAGCTTCTGAACTGCTCTTATTGATTTCTGATTGGATTTGGAATTTAAAGTTTGAAACTTTATTGTGATTATTAGGGTTTGCTGTCTCCAAACTCTTCCGGAGGAGTCCTCAGTGTTGAACAAGACTAAGCTTTGAGAATGAGTGTAGTTGGATTTGATTTTGGAAACGAGAACTGTCTTGTTGCTGTCGCGAGGCAGAGAGGTATCGACGTTGTGCTTAACGATGAATCTAACCGTGAGACTCCTGCCATTGTATGCTTTGGCGAGAAGCAACGTTTCATCGGGACTGCTGGAGCTGCTTCCACCATGATGAACCCTAAAAACTCTATTTCACAGATCAAGCGTCTTGTGGGTCGTCAGTTCTCAGACCCTGAGCTGCAGAGAGACATCAAGTCTCTGCCTTTCTCTGTCACGGAAGGACCTGACGGGTACCCTTTGATCCACGCTAATTATTTGGGAGAGAAGAGGGCGTTTACTCCCACTCAGGTTATGGGGATGATGCTGTCCAACTTGAAAGGGATTGCTGAGAAGAATCTGAACGCTGCTGTTGTTGACTGTTGTATCGGTATTCCTGTTTACTTCACCGATCTACAGAGAAGAGCTGTGCTAGATGCAGCGACTATTGCAGGCTTGCATCCTTTGCATTTGATCCATGAGACAACAGCAACAGCTTTGGCATATGGTATTTACAAGACGGATTTGCCGGAGAGTGAGCCGCTTAATGTTGCGTTTATTGACATTGGTCATGCAAGTATGCAAGTGTGCATTGCAGGGTTCAAAAAGGGACAGCTTAAGGTCTTGTCTCATGGGTTTGATCGGTCTTTAGGAGGAAGGGACTTTGATGAGGTTCTTTTCAATCATTTTGCTGCCAAGTTCAAGGAGGAGTACAAGATTGATGTCACTCAGAACGCTAAGGCTAGTCTCAGGCTGAGGGCTGCGTGTGAGAAGCTGAAGAAGGTGCTAAGTGCTAACCCTGTGGCGCCATTGAATATTGAGTGTTTGATGGATGNATTTTGCTGCCAAGTTCAAGGAGGAGTACAAGATTGATGTCACTCAGAACGCTAAGGCTAGTCTCAGGCTGAGGGCTGCGTGTGAGAAGCTGAAGAAGGTGCTAAGTGCTAACCCTGTGGCGCCATTGAATATTGAGTGTTTGATGGATGAGAAGGATGTTAGGGGTGTTATCAAGAGGGAAGAGTTTGAAGAGATCAGCGTACCTATCTTGGAGCGAGTGAAGGGTCCTCTAGAGAAGGCTCTCGCTGATGCAGGGTTATCAATTGAAGATGTACATATGGTAGAGGTTGTTGGATCTGGCTCTCGTGTTCCTGCCATTATCAAGATTTTAACTGAGTTTTTCGGTAAGGAGCCAAGGCGTACAATGAATGCTAGTGAGTGTGTGTCTAGGGGATGTGCCTTGCAGTGTGCTATTCTCAGTCCCACCTTCAAAGTCCGCGAGTTCCAGGTGCATATATATGCTTAAATAATATGTGTTTTATCGTCTACTATAGTACTTCAGACTATCTAACAAGTCATATTATTATTTCTTACTAGGTTCATGAGAGCTTCCCCTTCTCAATTTCGCTTGCATGGAAAGGAGCAGCTTCTGATGCTCAAAATGGAGGAGCTGAGAATCAACAGAGTACCATTGTTTTCCCCAAAGGAAACTCCATCCCAAGTGTCAAGGCTCTAACGTTTTACCGCTCTGGAACCTTCTCTGTTGATGTGCAGTACAGTGATTCGTCCGAGTTGCAAGTACCTCCTAAAATCAGCACATACACGGTTTGATCTTCTTTGCCCAATGTCGTTTATGTTCAAGACTGTAGCGCTATTGTTTCTCATGGTTGTTAACCTTTTTTGGCAGATTGGTCCCTTCCAGTCATCAAAAGGCGAGAGGGCAAAGCTTAAAGTGAAAGTGAGATTGACCCTTCACGGAATTGTCTCTGTTGAATCAGCAACTGTAAGTTTGTGTTGTTATAACCCACGCCTTCCTTTACGAACTTGAGATTGTTTAATTTATGCTAATTTTGTATCTACCTCATTTGCAGCTGTTGGAGGAAGAAGAAGTTGAAGTTCCGGTCGCAGCAGAGCAGATGGACACTGACAAAGTTTCTGGTGAAACTGATGTGAACATGCAGGACGCCAAGGAAACCAGTGATGCAGCTGGTACTGACAATGGTGTTCCTGAGTCTGCTGATAAGCCGGTGCAAATGGAAACTGATTCCAAGGTTAGTTTTTCTACTCAGCTGATGTTCCTTACTGTATTCTTTCACTCGTGAACTTAATTTAATCAAATTGGTATGGTATGTGCAGGCTGAGGCCCCGAAGAAGAAGGTCAAGAAAACAAATGTCCCTCTGTCTGAATTGGTATACGGTGCCTTGCAATCTGTTGACGTCCAAAAAGCTGTGGAGAAAGAATACGAGATGGCTCTCCAAGACAGAGTTATGGAGGACACCAAGGACCGAAAGAATGCTGTTGAGTCCTATGTTTATGATATGCGAAACAAGGTAATTAAACCCTTTTCTTTCTTTCCCTCATTTTTGTCTGTATTGGGTTGTATGCATTCATTTAGTGAAGGGCTGGCTACTGACGTGTTTTGTTTTTCAGCTGAGTGACAAATACCATGACTACATTATCGAGTCAGAGAGGGAAGCTTTCCTGGCGAAGTTGCAGGAAGTGGAGGATTGGTTATATGAAGATGGGGAAGATGAGACTAAAGGAGTCTATGTTGCAAAGCTCGAGGAGCTCAAGAAGGTAATAGACATGATAGATCGATGCTTTATTGTGTTCTACTTTAAGAACAAAATGTTCTAACCGAGCTTGGTGATTGGACTTTGATGTAGGTGGGTGACCCTGTTGAGATGCGTTACAAGGAGTCACAGGAAAGAGGGACGGTCGTTGGTCATCTTGGTCACTGCGTTAACAGCTACAGAGAGGCAGCTGTCTCTAATGACTCCAAGTTTGACCACATTGAACTTGAAGAGAAGCAAAAGGTAAATAACAAGAGCTGAGATTTTCATTTTTTTTGCATAAGAATGTTGAGGGTGTGTTTAAACTTCTTGTTGTTGTGCCAAATGTAAATGAAGGTATTGAACGAGTGTGTGGAAGCAGAAGCATGGATGAGGGAGAAGCAGCAGCAACAGGAGGCGCTCCCCAAGTACGCAACACCAGCGTTCTTGTCAGCTGATGTTACAAGAAAGGCGGAGGCATTGGACAAGTAAGCAAAAGCTTGGTCTCATGTGTTTCTCTTATACTTGGAGTTGTACTTTGTATAGTAGAAGTGACTTAACGTCTTTTTGGATTGTCTTGTAGGTTCTGCAGGCCTATAATGACCAAACCAAAGCCGGTTGTGAAACCGGAAGCACCACCAGCCAAGGCGGCGGAAGGGGAGAAGAGTGAGCCACAGCCAGCAGAAGGCTCTGGCGAAGAACCAATGGAGACAGAGAAGCCTACCGAAGATAGTGCCTAAGAGATGCTGGTGCACGTGTATCGATTTTGTTTTTCTTCTTAGTTCTTGTTTTCGCTATTACTCCCAAAAGATTCTATTTGAACTCGTCCTTATCGATTACAATTTTCAAGAAGTATTGTTTCCCTTTCCTGTTGTCTTTATAAACTATTTATCGTGTGTGTTGTTACATGTTTCTGAGCTAATTTTCTTAACAGAGCAAATGAAATATGCATATTTGCATTTCTATCAGCAGATAAGGGCAAAGGGCACATCTTACAAAGTCCATTTTCCTTTGATGTAGTTTCTGAAAGCATGCTAAGCAAAAGCAATGATTAAATCATGGTGCAGAAAGATGAAGCTAGAACTTTTGAGCTTATAACAACACCTCAACATGCTTCTATTTGAAGAAGGGCAAGAAGAGGATTTACTACTTTTGAACAGTTTCAGGAACATGATTCAATACTCTATTTAACCAAAAAAAAAAACTCTGAGATCTCTAACATTTTCCACAAAAATGACAATTTCTAAGAGTCAGTGTCACAAGATATAAATATGGGTCTTGGAATCTTAATTTGATATTTTAACACGCAATGCCATTGAGTTGAGATGCAATCAATGCCATTGAGTTGAGATGCAATGAAACGAGTTGTGCTTTCTACACGGGAAAGGATGAATATCACGGCGCGTTTGATGTGATACACTGAACGAGTGACCATATACTATAGGCCGCATTTCACTAGACAGGTAAAACACACATAAAAACGACACACAGTTGATTATTCTGGAAACTGCATGTAGTGGAGTTTCATAAACTAAAACGACAGATTTTGTTAATCAGTTACAGCTTACAACTGTCAACCCACAAGCAAATTAAATTTTGCAGAGACAGTTAATACTTCTTCTAAAGACCAAACACATAGGATTCATCGCCTGAGATTCGAACATGGACGGAGTTCTTACAGTGGTTCCATCTGTAATTTGTGGTGTGTCTCTGCACAGTTCATGTCGGAACAGGGTTAATGCTGGATCCAGACACCATTCTCCCAATCCAGTTTCAGGTCTTCAAACTGGGAATCGCGTTTCCATTATTCACCCATCTCAGAAAGGAAGTTCCTTTCCTAGAAAGCGACATTGTCTTGAAACTTGGCGCATGGTGATGATAAAATCCGCAGCTTCTTCAGGTAAAAAAAAAGGTTGAACCTTTGTTGTTGTTTTAAATAGCAAAGAAACAGAGTTTGGTTTTGTGTATTGTCTTTGTTAGAATGATTTTATCCTTTGGTGTTTAGGGTCTTCAAGAAAGATGTATTAATAACCAAGTTTCATTTCAGACAAATCTTTGTGTCCGAGAACTAGCAACAGGAACCGTTTTTTTAGAAAATACTAAGAACAAAATGAGATGCAGTTTAGAAGTTTTAACCCAGCTAATGTTTTGATCTGTGTGGCCTGTGTAGTTGGAAATACAGACGAGAACGTGGAAGAACCAGCTACAAGTGTGAAGTTTCAGAGATCTGTGACATTACCTGGTTGTGCTACTACGCTCTCGTTGCTTGGCACTGGTCAGTTATCTTCACTCTTTGTATATACTTGCTCTGAGAGTTTCTGTGATGTATCTATATGTGAAAATGCATCATCTTCTGTCAGGGTTTAGAGAGAAAAAGTTTGCAATCATTGGTGTCAAAGTCTATGCTGCTGGTTTATACGTGAATGAATCTATTTTAACCGGGTTAACCGCTTGGAAAGGGAAGTCTGCTGATGAGATTCAAAGAGATAGATCACTGTTTAATTCCATTTTTCAAGGTAATGATATGCTAAACATCATAAGCTTTCTTTGTTAGCATTTCAAACTCTCTCTTACATGAGTCTTGTTGCTCACAATGATGCAGATCAAGCAGAGAAATCGTTGCAGATTGTTCTTGTGAGAGATGTTGATGGTAAAACCTTCTGGGATGCATTGGATGAAGCCATTTCACCAAGAATCAAATCTCCTTCTCCTGATGATAAAACTGCTCTCTCTACATTCCAAGGGATCTTCCAAAACAGACCTCTCAACAAAGGAAGTGTCATACTCTTGACTTGGATCAATCCTTCTAAAATGCTTGTAAGCACAATTTTTTTCTCAGGCTTTGGAGCTCATTGAATTTACTTACACAAGAGATTGCCTATGTTTTGTTTTTTTTTTCTCCTTTCTGTTAGGTTTCTGTTTCATCCGGAGGGTTACCAAAGGATGTGGATGCAGCGGTTGAGTCAGATAGTGTTACATCTGCTCTGTTCGATGTGTTCTTTGGGGACTCTCCAGTTTCTCCTACACTGAAATCCTCAGTGGCTAACCAATTAGCTATGGTCCTCAGATAAAACTGTAAATGTTACATATCATGTTGTAATATGAATATTTTGGAACTTGTGGTGTTAAGTCTATGTTTGTATTAATCTTGTATAACCAGATAAAGACATCATGTTTGAGTTTAAACTTAATACTGGAGTTCCTAATATTGGAAATTAAAAAAAAAAATGATTGTGACAGAGGTTATATATGGTTTTGGCCAAGTTGAGCAAGTGAACCCTTGACCACATGCAAGTTCCTGTGTCACTCTCACTTGGACCACACTTTTCATGTTATATTTGGAGTTTTATTGTGTGATGCATTATTATATTTCTCACTATTATATTGCACTAAGTAAGAAATGTTTTGTTTGGTATACTTTAAATTATATCTAACATATATAAGAAAACAACAAAAACAAATATGCTTGCTGGAGGTGGTCTGGTGGGGGTTAGTTTTGCTGCTTCAGTCAAAATTCTATGAACTATTGTGAATGGTTACAAAAAGCATGATTCATGTGGTGATTATGTCCCCCTCTGTTGCATTGTGTGACTCATCATGCTGTTTTTTTGGTCCATTCTATATCATGAGTCATGACCAACCCATTCTTTGTTTTGTTAAACCTATATTATATTTGCGTCTGAAAAATAGAAAACAATGAAAAAGCAATAAGATATGCACAAAAGTATCAACATTAGTTGTAACGCTTTAAAATATAAGATATAGCCGCTTACTTGACATCTTAGAGAGTATTGTCTGTAGTTATGCAATATGAATTGAGTTCTTATTCATTTTTATAAAGTGAATAATATAGTTTTATTATGTGGAACTGTCTTTTTCATGATTTAAGTAATGGACCAACTTTGCAACTCCTATATGTTTGAATGCCTCTGATACAACAAACCAATTATGTAGATTTTTTTATTGATAGTACATTTGGAACAATGATATTTAATATAGCCTTAACCTTGTAGTAAATTGCCCCCCTTATGAGATAATTTTTTTAATTTGAGCCAGACACTAAAAAGCTGATCTTTTCAATAATTACAAACGCCAATTTGTGTAAATTGACATGTGAATATCAGTTCAGTACTTCAGTTAGCTTCACACGTTTTAAGATATTGTTACTCTTGTTACCAATGTTTTTAAAAAACAAGACCGGCAACTAAACCGGAAAATTTTGGATCATGGATCAATATGTTTCAACCGGGTTTAATTAGGTTCAACCAAATTCAATTTAATAATATTTTGTAAGTAATATACATTTTTTTTACAATAAAAACATAGTAGATAAAATGGTTGGCATTGAAGGCTAACACCTGACAAATTCCTAAGTTTTCTCATGGTGATGTTCTGTCACTGAATATAATAAAGTGAAGGTGACACATGACATACAAATTTATTCTTACACAAAAAAATTAATGTTTAATATTAATAAATATTTACTTTATGTAAATTCATTTATCAATTCTTTTTAAGAAGTATGAATTTATTTTGAGATAAAAAATATAATAAAAAATCATAGTATTTGTAGGAGATGGATTTCACCCTCCTCTCAAGGTCCATCGAATAAATATTACGGCCCGTCACTCGGCACGAATAGCCGGAGAAGATATTTCTCTGCAAGTCGACAAAGGACTCGGAGCCGAGCAGCGCAGCTGAATCCGTACCGAGTAAAAAGAGCCAGTCCGCTTAAAAGCCCACAAAGCGAAGGACACGGCCCATCAGGGTTGTCCGTACAACGAACTATAAAAGCGAAAGGGAACCTAACTTAGAATCCGAAAATAGACTGACTAGGCGGATGCTAAACTAGGGTTTTCAATCATCTTGTTGCTCTTAGATCGGTCCGTACACTTCCGGCTAGCTCTCCGAGCACTGAAGTCTCCTTTGTACTCTCTTCTGATTCTTAATAAACTCTTCTTACTTTCATCTGTTCGTTCACATCTTCGAAATAACCCACCGACGAGTTTTGTCGATCATTTGTCCATTTCCTCCGCTTCTTACAGATATTTCCTCTCTCTAGCTTCTCTCTCTTTATCGTCTTCTAGTTAGGGTTTCTTTGATGTCCTTGGTAGAAGATTGACGGCGGTGGATAAGGGCAAAATCTGTGGCGACTGATTCGCTAGTTTCTGAGACGCGTGCTCAGCTAACCGACGCATAATCGAGTCTGAATTGGCGCATCAAGAAGCTTTGCGAGACATTGAAGGGCTAGATTTATCGCAGAAACTTCTCGTTATGGTCGATTCTGAGAGATTGATACGGGAGGAAGAGAATGCAAGGGCCTTGTCATTTGATCGATCCCTGACTCCTGAGATCAGGGGGAGTTCTAGTGGCTCTCGGTTGAGGGACCCACCCGGTAACACCCTCCCTTTAGTCGATGAGCCAATGATTCCAATCCACTTTTTCCCGGGGGTGGGGGGTGTTCGAGAAATTACCAGCTCTTTGTCGCGAGTTTTCTCGCCCATTGATGGTAGAAGGGCAAGATTAGGAGAACGTTCATCCGACTCGATCGACAGTCGAGACCGTTAAACAAATTTTAAGGGAACAAGGCGGCTCAGGGGTTACAATTTATCATCCCAAACACTAACCAAAGTCCATGGACCCCTCTGATAGGATATCAGTGCGTCTACACATCCTATTTCCAGAAGGACACCAGATAGTGGTTTCCAATTCCGCGGCTGGTAACCGCTTATTGCTTTCGCCTGGATGCTGCAATTTCTCAGTTCATCAACGGGTCGTTTTGTATAGCGGTAGGACTTATGGTGCTGGCTGCAGAAAGAGAATTATCAATGAGTGTTCGGGTCTTCAAGGAGCTTACGACAATATCGAACATGCAGAACAGCTTGTTCTCTATGAAGATGCGACCTGGTTTAGATATTCTACTTAGCTCACCGAACAAGACCTACAATTGGCAACATTGGTATTTCTACGTGAAGGCAAATGATAATGCGCTCGAGGAGCCTCTGAATGAAAACAATAGGGTTCTATGGAGCTCGAGCTTTGGTAAAGAACTTCACCGAATTGGTTTTGTTTATCTGGCGTCTGACATGTTGTCTTCGGCTTTTTTGCAGTTTTGCATTCCAACATTGGGAATTACCCTGTGGAATTTCTCGAAGTTGTTAAAAGACTCGCGCGTTCTACTTCACTTCATTGGACGTCCGTCTCGTTTTCGAGGGTTAGTCAGTTGCAGCCCTGTATAACACGAGGTATCGTTTCAATTTTGCTCGTTGTTTCCTTTTTGACATGTTCACTTTTGCCCGTAATACTGAGACTTTTCTGCCGTTTCAGCCGACTGGAGACCCAATCTCCGTGCTGAAGTGCACGGCCACGGTAGACTGCTTATATTTCCTAAAAAGGCTTCTTCTTCAATCAAAAGGCGGAGTAAGAAGAACATGAAGGCACTTCCGAAGCTTAGTGATATCATTTCCAGTGAGATCGAGAAAGCGGGTCCTTCCCAAACACGCGACGAGTCTCGGGGTGAAAGGACACACGTTCCCCAAGAGGTGATAGCGAACGAGGCTGTTCAGGATGATGATGATGACGATAGGCTTCCAGGAGAGCGACATGACCCTTTGCTACGAAAGAGAATGAGGTCGAATATTACTTTGTCCGATGAACAGATTACTAATGAGGCTGAAGCTGATACCCCAGAAGAGCAGCCTGTCGATGCAGAGACTCTTCAATCTCCCGAGCGTGACCCCGTCGGTGACAATCTGACTTCCGACTCTCACCCATCAAAACAAAAAAGGACAGAAGTGGGAAGTATTTATGAGGGGGGGGGGACGTGTGTTTCAACGCAATAGTCATTATTAGGTCTATGAAGCCTATTGGACCTATTTGCCGCCCAACACGCATTAACCGGCCTGCGTCTCCTCCGCTTCCCGATGAAAACCAGGTTTTACGAGCCAAAACGAATCAACTCCGGTCAGGCATAACTGACTTCCCAACAAAAAGAGAGGTGGGCGGATCATCAAAGCCGAGTCATTTATTCTCCCGACCATTATAAAACACTTCACACGCACAACAATCATAGTGAACTGGGGGGAGGGGCTTATTGTAGGAGATGGATTTCATCCTCCTCTCAAGGCCCATCGAATAAATATTACGGCCCGTTACTTGGATCGAACAGCCAGAGAAGATATTTCTCCGCAAGACGACAAAGGACTCAGAGCCGAGCAGCGCAGCTGATCCGTACCAAGTAAGAAGAGCCGGTCCACTTAAAATCCCACAAAGTGAAGGACACGGCCCATTAGGGTTGTCCGTACAACGATTTATAAAAGCGAAAGGGAACATAACTTAGAAGGGATCCAAAAATAGACTGACTAGGCGGCAGCTAAACTAGGATTTTCACTCATCTTGTTGCTCTTAGATCGGTCCGTACACTTCCGGCTAGCTCTTCGAGCACCGAAGTCTCCTTTGTATTCTCTTCTGATTATTAATAAACTCTTCTTACTATCATTTGTTCGTTCACATCTTCAAAATAACGCACCGACGAGTTTTGTCGATTATTTACTCATTTAGCATCATACTCGGTTCAAACAGTATCCATGAATTCCAAAAAAAAAATGTATAAGGCTGAAAATAATCCATAATTTATATTCTTAGATATTTTATTTTATTAACATTGACAATTGTTAGAAATTACTTATATAATAAAATAACAAAATATGAATAGTGAAATTTAATGTTATTAATAAAATAAAAAATATAAATAGTGAAATTTGATGTTATGATACTCACTAAATTGTTATGTATATGTATGACTAGATTTTTAATAGTAGCAGATTAGGAATTAATATGCATTAAATATACAGGAAAAAATAAGAATACAAACTAAATCAAATAATAAACACATCAAACAAAGTACAAAGATTCCCACATAAATTGGCTGAAAATAATCCATAATTTATATTCTTAGATATTTTATTTTATTAACATTGACAAATTTTAGAAATTACTTATATAATAAAATAATAAATTGTGAAATTTAATGTTATTTTTATTTTCAATAATAAGAAAACTCAGATCCTCATTAAATTTGAATATATATATATATATATATATTTATATTTATTTATGTGTGCGTGTCACAAAATTTTTAATAGTAACACATTAGGAATTAATATGCATTAAATATACATGAAAAGAAATCAGAATACAAAATAAATCAAAGTAATAAA